GTGGCATTATTTATCCATTAGCTGATGACACATTTTTGTTTTTCTTCGCAAAACTGTTTTAATGGCCTTTATCTGGCTCGTGTTTACGCAAAAGAAACGAATTTTTCTTTTGGTGAAAACAAATCTTTTTTGAAAGCGAAAATATATTTGAGTTCAAATTGTTTTCATAGTTTTTCATTTTGACTTATTTTCTCGCTTATAAAAAAAAAACACAACAAACCAAAGTAAGGTAAATCTTGCTAGTAATTATACAATTATAAAACTTATGTCAAGACATACATATATTAAAATAAAGCTAGGAAAAAGTTATAAAGTTATATATATGTGTGTGTGTGTGTGTGTGAAACAAGGCCAAGGGGTTAATAAAACAGAAGGCAATGCCAATCTATGGCCAGACCGAGGAGCCATAAAACGTCTGTGGGCGACGCCTCGATTGATAGCCAGTCGACAGAAAGGGGAGCAGCAGAAGCCGCTCCTCGTGCGGCTGACAACGAAAACAATCATCAAAAGGGCAAAAACAAACACTGAACAATGGCAACGAATCGGACAATGGGGGCCCAGATAATCAACCCGGGGGGGGCACTGTGACAGTGATGGCAAATGGAGTACATGATAATAACAGCGAAGGAGGGGGCCAGACGTATCCTTTAATGGCCGCCAGACATTATCGTGGCTAAAAAATCGATGGAGCCCTCCATTTCAATTTCTCCAGAGCCCAATTGCCAGCAAAACTTCTAATATTTCACGCCAGGCTAACGCACGCGATGCACTTGCGTTTCTCCTATTCCTAGAGCGGGGTGGGGCGCGGCGGGACGAGGGGGCAGGGTTTGCGTCAGGCGAGAAAAGTTGAAAAGTCATGGCTGTCACTTTTTGGATTTTTTTCGTAGCCCACGAAAATCTGAGCTCGCTCTCTCTCTCTCCCTCTCTCTCTCTCTCGCCAAAAACCGTTCCCAACGGTGCGTTTGCATTTGTGTCTCTTTTTAGCTATGTGTGAGCTCCAACTAGAAATGGGCGCGTGTCCAATAAGAAAATAAACTACACTTGCAGAGCACGCGCGATCGAAAATTTTTCTTTTTTTAATATAAAATCAAATATATTTTTGAAAAATTGAGTGCGCGGATAATACGCCGAATTAACCGGGCAAACACACACATTCGCACTAACACACTCACTTATGCACGTCTTATACATGTGTGTGTGTGTGTGTGTGTGTGTGTGTAAGCACGCTTACAATATCCGCAATGTTTACTCTCTGGATAAAGGCTCTCGCTAGCACGCTGATCCGGCAGCCGGCAACGCATATTACAGTTACAATTTTTTCTTTATTGCGCCCTACTCTTTCGCCCTCTCTCTCTCTCTCTCTCTCTCTCTCTCTCTCTCTCTCTCTCTCTCTATCTTTCTCTCTAACGCATTTAGCAACAGTTTATTAAATTATACAATTTATTTAATTCGATATTCTGCACACGCGCGGAGAATACGACCGATCCGTCTGCTAAAGCGCACATCTATGCTAAGTGGGCTCTCGCACTTATTCTAGTTAAGAGCACACATAAATATCAAAGCTAACGCTCTCTTATTGTTCACAATGGACGCTGGTAAAGGCTTTGAATCCAGCTCCGCCAATGAGAATAGCGCAGAGAGCATACAAATTAACTGGGTCCATGTAATCATTCACAATGCACACAAGTGGAACAAACCTAATTAGAATTTAATTATGGCCCCTTTTCTCGCTGTCTCTCTTAACTATTTATACATTCTTCTAACCATAACGCTCTTTTTATCCCTTAATGTTGTACATAAGAGAGCAAATCGTTCCAATTGAATATATTCCAACAGAGTCCAATAAGAACCGCGAGCAGTTTTCTGTACATGAGTTGCATAGAGCCAGGTTCGAGCCTTGATTAGATATCCTGGTCTATTATATTGACATCAATATCAAGTTGCCACAGAATGATTTTCAAATTAACGTTAATACTCCCCGCCTCCTCCTCCTCCTGCTCCACGCCAAGATAATTGTTATTGCTGTCAACGTAAATAATACAAAATGTGCACGCAGGAGTCGCCTCTTCTGAAAGTTGCGGCACAGGAATGCGCCACACAACCCCTTATGTTGCCGCTGAAAGGACTCTGAATTATTTATTTGCCCCATTTAATTGATTGGATCTGAACTTTTTATAACCCAGACCAGGTGCTAGCTTCAGCGACTTATCGACCCGATATACTTGTTGGTTTAATTGTTAATTAAATGTCGAAATCGAGCTGGACTAAAGCACGATTAGCTCAGTAAGAAGAAGGCCTTAATTAGATAACTTATATTAGTTTAAAGTTTAAACTTTAAATTCAAGCCAAAACCTGTTCAATTTAAATATTCCCATTGAAATGTTACCCGTTTTTAATGCTTGGCTAATTAATTTCATTAGCTTTTTTTTTTTGGGTCAAGGCTTCGCGTGCTTTGCGTGTGTTCTACATATATCCTACGAATGCGAGTCCTAATCATATTTATGACTTGGCTTTTGAGTTGCCAACTTGGGGATTGGCCATAATCTTATTGCCACAAAATCCACTGCAGAAGGCTGAAAAAAGAAAGAAGAAGAAGGCCGTCTAGCAGTGGAAACAATTGTACGGAAAACGCATTAAATGTTTACCAGGTGTTATCGAAACAAGCAAAGCCAAGTTGAAGGGCTCTAAACAAAAGTATCCGACGGGTGGATACCCTAAAACTTCTTCTATGGAAAGATATTCGATCTGTAAGGCTACTTCTCAATTTTAATGACTCTCATGTCTCTCAAGACCTAAGAAGGACACACGTTCGATTCTCTGGCTTTCAGAGGTTCTGGGAGGCCAGACGCACATGGATATATAGACTAGGAGATTGATCTCTGATCAAGAATATATATATATATATATAATTTATGATGTCGGAGAAGAAGGCAACTTCTGCCTGTTACAAACATTTGCATACATACATTATACCCCTTTTACACGTTTTCAATGTTTACAGGGTATTTAATAGAGCACACAAAATTTTACCTAAAATTCGACAGAAATACAACTCATTGCCTAATTCCACTAACAACATTTCTTACATTTTTTGCGAATGTTACATTTTTGAGAATGTGTTATGTTAGGAAGAACTCACATTTTTCACATTTGCAATAAAATGTTGGTATTGATGATTTATCAAATGTTGTTTCGATGGAAAATGGGAAAATATGGGAAAATGGGAAACAGATGCTACAACAAATAAGGTAAGCGTTAAATTTAAATGTTAATATGTCAACGACAAATGATGCTTGCTAATGGAATCGCAGAATGTAATGTTGGTAAATGTCAAAAATTGCGATAATTGACGTTTGTTCTGTAACCAAAATAGTTAACTCCTTAAGTTTTAGATACGATATGTAAATATATGTTAAAGTCTATAAAAATGTGAAAGAATCTTTGTTCAACTTTGTTTTTTTAGTGTTGTCCATCTAAACTAAGGTTCGCTAAGGACCTTTCAGATACCTTCAAGTTAAGCTCTGCGTAAACGAGTTTGTTGCGACTGACTGTCTGACTGTCAATAATAACAATAAAATCAAATAGTTTTGAATAAAAAAGAACTTTAAATTTGACAAGTCTAGCAGAGCAAGGTAAACGCTCGAGGACAACGTCACTGACATGTCCTGCAAGACGTCAGGGCCAGACGGATCGCCTCTTCGACTATTTGCAAACTAATTGGAATATATTGTTATATATTTTAGTTTTGTTTTTTTTTCTCACCATTCTCGATGGTCTCCTTGGCACAGGATATGATTTTGCCTTTGCGTCGTCGCAAATTCGATTCGAAATTGTTGTCCTCGCTGAGGTCCTCGTCCCGCTGAGCAGCAGCTCCGTCGCCGGCTGTTGTTGTTGTTGCTGTTGTTGCTGTCGTCGACTCCGGCACATCCTCCGAGGACTGGCGCTCCTCGAAGTCGCCGCCGCCGTGAATTAAACTATCAAAACTTTGGCTCATCGTGCGCCAAGAAGAAGAAAAACCAAAAAAAAAAAACCAAATATTGTTTTTCTGCTGCTTTCCTGTGGCTGTAAAATGTTTTCTTTTCTATTTGTTTTTTTCGCTCACTTTTGTTATTAGCTTTTCTTTTTTTTTATATATATAAATTTGCGTCGCGTGTTAATTAAGTGAAAACGGAAGCCTGTGAAGTATGTTCATTAATCATTGTTTGTACATTTACAGTTTTTGATTAACAGTTAGAAACGAAATTCAAACACGCAAAATAAAAGTAAAACAAGTTTCTGTTACTCTTAACTTGTGATCGAAGAAGAGAGTTTTCCCTCTCGATCAGCAAAGTCGTCCTTCGGCTAGAATAACTGTTAACTCAATCTCTTAAGAGCACAAGAGAAGAACATCTTTATGTTAAGAATATGTTGGAAAAAACTCTTTCACTCGCGTTGTTAACAGCGTACAAAAAGGAAAAGAAAACGAAAACACGCAACGCATAAAAAAAAAAATGAAAATAGAACAAAAACTCGCGCAAAATGCCAAACAGTTATCCGTTGGCTACGCCGGCTGGCTAAGTGTGGGTGGGAGGGCGAGTTAGTGTACGCGCGGGGTAAGGCTACAGTGAACGGGATCTTGCCACCCCCCCCCCCCCCCTCCCAACCAATCATCAACAGCAAGCGTAAATTTGAATGTGCGTGGACGTCAGAACTGTTACTTGTTTTGCCTACTTTGTTGCTGCTCGTCAAAGCCGCATTTGAGCAACAACAACAACAACAGTGAGTGGCACTCGAAACCGTTATTTCATAATCGCAAAGTAGCGATTTAGGTTAAGCCAATGCCACAACAACGGTAAAAACAACAACAAAATACTATTGTTGTGACTTTTTTGTGTAGCACACTTTTTAGCGCGTAACTGTATTGTTTTTTCTTAGCTGATTTATTTGTTTTATTTATCAAATACCACAAAATGTTCTAATAATTATTTAATGCGCACGCGGTTTAAAACTCGTTTGCACGCTTGAAAATGCCGTCAGAGACTGAAATGACACGCAAATGTTGAACGAAACAAATGTTCAACACGGCTGCAAAACGAAAAGAGAGTGTGGTGAGTTTCTCATTTATTGATTTTGTTGTGTGCGTATGCGTGTGCGTCTATACAAAGCGAAGCAACACAGAAACGCAAAATTTGTGTCGCCTTTTCTGTTTTCATACAAGCTCTATGACAGCTACAACAGGGGCGCAGGCAAGGGCAGCGTGTCCATGCTAAGGGAGCGCGGCTGCAGCATGCAAAAAGCCGGCAGATAACAAAGCAAAGCACAGAGCGAAGCGCGCAAAGAGCAAGAGTAAGAGTAAAGTGACAAGCATTTTGCCAGCCAAAAAGAGCAAACATATGATGATGCTTTTGTTTGTGCTCTTGCCCTTACACTGAAGCGTGCGTTAACTGTTAATTATAACTGTAGAAACTAACTTCTGATTATTAAAACTAGCAAAAATAAAAAAAAAATATTAAAAATTGAAGTTGTCTGTGTTTTTATTTAATTTTATATTAATAAAATCAAACGAAATGCACAAGATGATTAAATTTAATGAAATGATTAGTTTGAATGCAACATTCATTATTTGCATTGCCAATACAAATTATATGTAACTCATATAATATTGTTTTTTTTTTTTTTGTATATATCAATTGGTATATAAGATTTACATAAATTATCTTTGTTCGCGATGAGTTTTTGTTTTGTATGATGAAAGCACAATTGAAATATTTGATAGATTCTTGATCTAGTCAAAGTGCTTTAAAAGTATATGCATATTATATAGAATACTAATTTAATTCCATTCCTCTTCATCCTCCAAGTTTTCAATGTGCCCGTTTTTAGCCTGTTGAAGTGAAAAAAAAGAGAAAGTCAATAAATTACAAGAAAAGCTTGCAAGAAACCGCCTGAAAGAGCTCCTCCATAGACGATTCTGCGTATAGAGCCATATAGTATATATATATATATATATATATATATATATATATATATATATATATATATATATATATATATAGATATGATATGTCAAGATCATGTCAGAGCTCGCAAATTCCAAGTTTGATTAAAATATCAAACATAAATTGTTTATAAAGAAACAAAACTCTCGCCCGATTGTTCCCATTTCATGACTTTTGCATGGAGACAAACGGACACATTCATTAGGCTATTGACACTGATCAGGAATATATATAGTCATGACTTAAGTGCTTTTAGGTAATTTTTATAAAATAAATACTAACACCGCCGCGAACATCAATGCCGCCAAACTTGGAGCCAAAATAGCTGCTGCTGCCGCCGCCAATTTCCTTAAGAAACTCCGGCACCTCTTGACCGGAACCCTCCAAGATCTTGATCAGATCAGCGGCAAGTGTGCGATCCTGTTCCGGATCAAAGAATGATGTGGCACGTCCACTATTGCCCACACGACCAGTGCGTCCAATGCGATGCACATAATCATCAATATTGGTGGGCATATCATAGTTGATAACATGCTTTACATTCTTAATATCTGCAAAGGATGCAACATGATTAGTTTGAATATAATTTTGGGCAGTGGGTATTCGCCGACTAACCAAGGCCACGCGAGGCTACCGATGTGGCAATGAGCACCTTCATGGTGCCAGTCTTAAAGTCGCGCAAAGCCTGCTCGCGCTGACTCTGCAGGCGATCGCCGTGTATGGAGGTAGTTGGGAATTCCGTTTCCGAAAAGAACGAGGCAAGAAAATCAGCGCCACGCTTTGTCTCCACAAAGACAATGGTGCCATCGGCGCCCTCGCGTAATATTTCCTAAAAAAAAAAAAATAAAAATAAACAAACTAAAAAAAAAACAACTAAAACATGTATACAATTGACTGACCATCAATTTGGAGCGTTTGTTAAACTTGTTGACCTCGTAGACGGTCTGCTGCACATCGGAGCAGGCGCCGCCGACAACGCCAATGGTAACAAAGACATAATTTTTCAAAAATTCACCAGCCATGCGCTGGATTTCCTCCGGGAACGTAGCCGAGAACATCAATGTCTGATGCTCCGGACGCATGGTCTGATGATGCATAATCTTGCGCATACTATCCGAGAAGCCCATGTCCAGCATGCGATCGGCCTCGTCGAGCACAATGAAACGTGTATCATCGAATGTTATGAATGTGCGATCCACAAAATCAAGCAAACGTCCCGGTGTGGCAATCAGCACATGACAACCCTTGGTAATGCATTCGTTCTGATATTTGAACGAGGTGCCGCCATAAACGATGCTGATCTTCAGATATGTGGTATATGAAAATTTTCGCGCCTCGTTAAAGATCTGAATGGCAAGCTCACGCGTCGGCGAGACAATCACCGCCTGCGGCTTGCCAATCTCTAGATCATGACTCTCATCCAGAATGTTGTTGAGTATGGGCAGCAAAAAGGCGGCCGTTTTGCCGGAGCCCGTCTGGGCGCAGGCCATCAAATCACGTCCTTCGGCAATTACTGGTATCGATACCTTCTGTATGGGCGTGGGCACCACATAGCCCGATTTAACCACATTATCCAGCACAATGCCGCGCAATCGCGCACTCTCAAAGTTCTTAATGGGTTGCGGCACATTTTCGCCAGTCACCTGAAATGCATAACGGGCATTAGTGAGATGCGTAACGGTTTGATTGATTGTCTCGACTTACCTTGACGGGAATATTATCGTATTTGGCAAAGTTAATGCCCGAAGAGATGCCGGTGCTAAACATTTCGGTCTCGTCATTGGTCGGCTCGGGTGGTATATAAAACTCCCTTGCCTTCTTTTCACTATCCTCGCCCACATCCTCCTGATTGTTGTTCATGTCGCCGTCGTCGCGTCGGCGTCGTTCAAAGCCACCGCTTTTACGAACAAAGCCGCCACGGCGTTCTTCGCCTAATGGATTTCAAAATTATAATTATAATTAAATATACAATTAAATACAATGCGTTATTTGTTAAACATACAAACAAACGAGACAACATTAATATACGACACATTTATTACTATTTTTCATTTTTTATTTTTTTAAACTGAAGCATTAAAAATATCAAATCCAATCGAAATCCAGTCGACATCTATCTTATATATGCAAGGCTCGTCCTGAGCTCTTAATATTTTTTTAGTTCTTTTCTTTTTTATATTTATAAACAAATATATATATATATGAAATCCAAAGTCAAAGTACGTCATTTAGACGACTTAAAGAAGCGAGGCATAGCGCGCATCGGGACTTAGACTAATTATATTGGCTGCCTTCAGCTCGAGGAGCACACGAAAAGCAAATGCTGCCTCCATGCGCGTCTCGATGAATCCAGTCGCACGCATATCAATCTGGTCGTTTCGGATCAATGCTCCGATTAGATTGTGCACAACACGAGGCTTCCACTCGGGCATTTCCAAGATCATTTGCGGATCGTATGTGTATATTGCAGGCAATGCGATATACCGAATGTTCTGTGCTTGCCCGTTCTCATCGGTATCATCCGTTGGATGGGATCGGTTGGCGAGCGATTGATAATTTCGTTGCTGATCTTCACGCTGCTGTTTATCGCTCAAGTGCTTAGTTTGATCTACCATGACACGCAGCAAGTGCTTGTGTTCCACCAAAAAGCTTAGATCTTCACGAAGCTCACGTTCTACGCGTTCCGATCTGGTAAACTGGCTCATTCCCGCACATTGATCAGCTTCCACCAACATCGGGCTATCAGTGCTGCTTACTTCCGTCCGATTAACTAATTGTCCAGCATCTGAAATTGCACTGGGCGGTTTGCATATAACTTCAATGGCAGTCACAATCGGTCTTTCCGGCAGATCAGCCAAATTTACAGATGTTGTTGACATTGCTGGTAGCTTCTCCGTCAGCTTATCCGTCTGCATGGGTAATGCCTGCGGCTCTATGCCTTCTGCTGCTGCTGACCTGTCGGGAAGCTCATCGGTCTGCATGGGTAATGCCGGCGGCTCTGTGACGACTGTTGCTGTTGGCTCTGTTGGCGGCGGCAGCGGCAACGGCACTTCTGCTGGCATTTCATCCGCATGATGCGGCACGTCGACTGCGATCGTTTGTTGCTCTATTTGTGACCATCTTTCCTGGAACATATTATTCAAAAATCCGAGCATAACCTCATCATCGCTGGGCGTCTGTGCTACCGCCGCTGGACGCCTGCGTCGGCGGCGGCGCCTGGGCGGTAGTCGAGGTGTTGTTGTTGTTGTTGTTGTTGCTGTTGAGCTAGGACTGAGTACATAATTTGGAAGCTCTGTGCGTTGACGAAAAATTGAGGCCCAATCACGAGTCAATGGTGGCGTTATATTTGCTGGCGGCGCAAATGAACTTGGAGTATTGGGAGCAATTGCATCAGCTTGATCCGCTGTGGCTGGCCCTGCTGCTGCTGTTTCTGCTACTGCTACTGTTTCTGCTGCTGCTACTGCTACTGTTTCTGTCGTGTAATCCTCATTCAATTCAAGCAAACGCGGCGTTGTGACTCGTTGCTGATTCTGTTGCTCCTCATCGATGGCAGGCAACTGGGTGCGATACGCTTGCAATAGGGACGATGCGAGCGCATGACGTGACCGCAACGGCAGCGACATTGAGGCATTGTTATCCCCACCAATAGCACCTCTCTCCACCAACAGCAAGGGCGATACCACTGGCACCGGTGGGCACAAAGTATGCAGACCTTCGTCCGTTAAGCTGGCTGCCTGACTTTCGCCAGTCGGTATGGATAGTAGGCTGTGAATTGTGTGAGTGCTTGTGAGTACCAATCATGAATATCAACATTATAATGAGAGAATGTGAAGTTGAGCGAAAATATATGCGCATGCGAGATATACAAATAGGAAGAATCAATTGTCAGCTATACTTGACTTGGTTTAAGCTCAATTTTGAGCACTAAATGTGAGCAAATGTGTTTGCCAGTTCGTTGCTGAAACCCATTGAGTATTGAAAGCTGGCAAAAGCAAAATGTACTTTTTCATTTCTCATTTGAAGGCTGAAAATCTTGGTAATTGCCCAAGCGAAACTGTGGGATTTTCGGGAATGGTTGTATCAAACTTTTTCTTGCTCATTTCTCCAAAGGGAAATTTTTAGAAAATGCGAGAAAATGCAGTTTCACAAGACGTTTGAAATATAAAACCTGAGCTTAACACCTGCCAATATATATATATACATATATATATTTATGTAGTAAGAGTTTCTGTCAATACACATTTCATTTTCAAGTTTGTCACAAATGTTTCGAGTGTATGTCAAAATTGTTAGTACCCAAAATAAAAGTTGTGTGTGTGTAAGAATATACCAATCCGTCGAATCGGCTGTTGTTTCCATACATAGACTAATGCAGGCAAGGCAGTTGGCATAAGGTAAGTGCAAATAGATACACACCCATAGACAGAGATTGGGAGAAAACAATAAAAAGACAGTTAGAGATAGAGCGAGAGAGAGAGAGAGAGAGAGAGATAGCGATTTGTTCGAGTTGTATACCCAACGTTGGAGATTGGTTGTGCGACATTTCTGGTGGCAAGTGGTGTGGCACCAGCTTCACTGTCCTGAACATCCGACAGCAATCTGTCCCGATCTGGTGTGTACTGACTGTGCGATTGTACAATCCGGCTCGGTAAAGGAGCTAAGCTGATTGCCTCATCTTGGTCCCGACCCAGATCCAGCTGCTGCTGCTGCCGCCGCATTTGCTGTTGCTCTGGCGCCGTGGGCACAAGCCAAGCCCTTGCTGATACCGGCGGCTGTTTGTTGTACATCCAGACCGGATTGTCTACCAGATCCGGCCAGGGCAGCTCCTCGTGCATTGCGCTGGGATTATAAGAGCGCAGCTTACGCATTTCGCGCAGCTGCATAAAATTCTCAGATAGCCAACGTACTGGAAATTCTTGTTGTCGCTGCTCATCGCTGGGCATTGGTGTCATTGTTGGCATTGCCGCATCCGTTGCAAGCTCCAGTTGGCCACCATTTAGTTCATATTCAGATGCGGCATTCTTGAGCACATTTCTGATGTGTTGTATGGCCTGATCCAAGGTTTTTTGGGGCGCAGCAATAGTTGCTTTGTTTCGTGCCGGCATATTGCAAATTCTAACAGGCGTTGTTGTTTCTGTTGCTCTTCTGTCAGGTGGTGTTGTTGTTGTTGTTGTTGATCCTGGCGCTCTTGTTATGGGAATTGTTGACGCTGCCATTTCTGACATATCGCGTCTTTGCTGGGCGCACGGCACCACAATTGCATCGTCAATGAACTGCTCGGCACGCATTCCCCCACCAAATGGCAAACCCCTAAACTGCTGCAGCTCTTTTTCGGATTCTTCCAGCAATTGAGCCACCTCTGCCATAACACGTTCCGAACTGGCGGCAGCTGTGGCGCACAACTTTTTGAACTTCTCTTGGCGCTCCTTGTGCTCGAATTCCTGCACCGAATTCCATTCGCTGTTCACCAGCGAACTGAAAGATTTAAGCAAATAGTCGCGCTGCTCACGCAGCTTGACCAGCGACTGATTGGGTACATTTAGATTGAGCTGCTCAATATATTCGGATACCGTGTTCGCATCGTAGCTGTTCGGCACGCGCGGGCCATGGCCGGTTCCACTGAGCATCAGCTGTGCCACTGTTAGCGTTACAATAGTTGAGACGAGATACAAGAACAAACGACACACAAACATATAGTTCGACATATAGATACATATATATATATATATAGTTAGATCACATGAAAAACTATCTTACGATAGTTGCTGCTTTTGCTAAATGCACAAAGACAAAAGACAGGGTATTCAAAAGTGACAAATACTAAACATGCTTACCGACCAATATACCAAGATAATTATCTTGAGTAACAAAAGGTCATTCATTTAATATTCCCCGATTACCTCTATATGATAGTAATTCCAATGCGAAATTATTGACAAAATTTGAATACCCTTTACAAATATTATATGAAATTGAAACGGTTCTACTTGAGTTGGATAATTTCGGTAATTTTGTGACAAAACTATATTTTGTTTTCATGGTTCAAATGTAGAATACTCTCTTAATAGTTGGTTGGTCTAAATCGTTCCCGAGTAAATATTTTAGTTGAACCCAAATTATTTCTTAGCCCTTGTAGTTTTATGGAATATCGTCTAAAATACTCACCATCGTCGTTGTCACGGCGTCCACGATAGCCTCCTCCTTCGCCATCATCCCGGCGTCCGCGATAGCCTCCTCCTTCGCCGTCATCCCGGCGTCCACGATAGCCTCCTCCTTCGCCGTCATCCCGGCGTCCACGATAGCCGCCGCCTCCTTGGCCATCATCGCGACGTCCGCGATAGCCAGCTCCTTGGCCAACGCCACGATAGCCCTTGGCAATGCCATCGCCATCGCCATCGCCAGCTACTTCTTCATCGCTCCATTCGGACACTGTCTTCTTATTGGATGATGCCTCCCCTTTGCTATCCCACTTATCATCAATGTGGGGTTTGTGTATAGGCTGATTGGTGCAGTCAGGCTAAGCATTAATGTAAATTGTCAATTTAGTACACTAATTGCCCATTTTCTTTAACTCACCTCATCATCCCAGTCGGACATGGTTTTAGTTCGTCGTTAACTGCTTTTGGGAAGATAACATATATTATTATAATTATATTCAAATTGTAAATAAACGACAGCTTCAACAGCCAGCGCAATATTTTACTTAGAAGGTTTGCAATAGTTTCAACTAAATTAGTCTAAATGCAAATAAATAAATTGTAGAATTTGTATATCGCTCGCTAAACACAGCGCTAAAATTCAAATGCAACGCTTTTAACAGCAACGTTAACAGTCTACTAAACACAGCACTGCTTTCGGTTTTTGCCATTCACAAACATGAACGAGCGCAATGTTAAGCGCTGAGGCGCAATTATGTTAAACGAAAAACGTGAGTTGCTCTGTTCTGTGTATGTATACACAGCATGCTTGCGTTTTTTTTTTCGCCTTGCCTTCTGGTAGTAGAACACATGTGCGTTTGAGTGGTATATGTATATGTGCACGTTTGTGTGTAGCAGCCAAAGCAGAAACGCAGAAAATTAAGGTTAGAGCGCAGCCAGGCAACCACACGACGACGAAGAAAAGGAAAATATAGCAAAAAGCAAGACTAAAAAAAACGTATTTCTTCTATATTCTCACTTACACCAACACACAACACACATTAACACCACACACACAAATACAGGCGCAGCAGCAGCGACCAAACACACACGAGTTTTTTTTCCTGACAGAAACTCTTGAAATTCTGTGTGTGATTTTTGCATAAAATCATTTGTGTGTGGAAAAATCAATTGGAAGATTATATTGCCATACAATAATAACAGCAACAGCAGCAACAGCAGCCCAACAACAACATGGATAGCGCCGGTAATAATCGTTATGAACTTTTGTTCATGGACGATGATGTTAGCGATCCATTAGATAATCTTGTCGCGGCCAAGAAGAAGCAGCAGCCAGCGACTACTGGCGCCGCAGCAGCCACCACAAAAACGGCGCCAACGGCAAAGGCAACAAAATCAGCAACGACCGCAGCAACAGCAGCCGGACCCAAAAAGCCAAATCAAGCCGAAAAGGAAAACAAACCAGGTGCATTGAATAAAAATGATGGCAAAAAGAATGCAGCTGGCAACAACAATGACAAACTTAACAACAACAACAAGCAAGGTGGGGCTGCTGTCGCTACGCGCAATGCTGGCAGCGCTGCTGCGGGCAAAACACGTGAAACTGGTCAAGGGCAGCAGCAGCAGCAGCAGCACCAACAACAACAGCGTAATGTCAATTTTCGTCAACAGAACGGAGGTGAGGTAACGCGCGAACAGCGCAACAATCGCCGCAATGTGCGCGAGAATGGCGCTCCAGGTGGCAACTCTGGCAACGCTGCCAACGATGGCAATCCTAGATCATATCGCACACCCGGCGGCGCCGGCGGCTTTGGCGGCGATCGTCCACCACGTCAGAATCGCAACTTTGATGGCGCCAATCGTAAACGTGAATTTGATCGTCAATCGGGCTCCGACAAAACTGGTGAGCATCTAATATATAATACACATATATACATATGCATTTGGGCTGAGGTTTACCCTAACCCCAAAACAAAAGGTTGGCCACAAATTTAACTACTCGCTCTTCCATTTTCTACCTTCTATACAAAATTAATATAAATTAAGAAACGGGCAGGCATCAACTAAATTGAGTGTTGCGCGCACATTTCATTAGTCCGATATGTTGTTGTATAGAAAAAATATGTTTAAAAATAGTTTGATTCCTCTGCAGGCGCTTCCCGTCCCTCTGCCGACACACTGCACTGAATGTAGGCAGGCCCACACAGTTTTTCCACGCCATGGAACATTATGTTTGAAGACAGGGGCGCACAGAGGGGGGGCTTAGTGTGGGTGGGCGGCGTGTAGCAGGGAGCGTGTCTTGCTAATATATACTCAAACACAATGTTACATACTTTCAAATATCTCAATTTTGTTGATCTTACACTAAAAAAAAAACCCCCCCCTATTTAAACGAAAACTTCATTCGGTTACGACGTAGATAAGAAAATCGAATAGTCCGTGTTCCTTATCTGAGATTTTCCAACACTATAACTACAAGTGTTGATTAGTTTCATTTTTCACTTACCGATTTGTCGAAAGAAATTTCTTATAGAAATAAGCGAACTTTGCCGATGCTGTAAAAGAAAGAGAAAAAAGAATATTTTATTAGCTTGAAAGAAGAGTATATTCGGAATTTAAAATAAAACCAAATTTGTATCTTGTCAAAACAGGTGTAAAGGCAATTGACAAACGCGACGGAGCTGGCGCCCACAATTGGGGATCAGTTAAGGAAGCCATCGATGATGTGAACAAGAGCAACGAGGGCGGCGAGACCAATGCGAACAATACCAATGCCGATGGAAAGGCCGATGAGTCCGGCAATGAGCAAACCAATGAACAGCAGACACCGCCAGAGGAGGAGACCAAAGAGCTAACACTGGACGAATGGAAGGCACAGCAGCAGCAGCGCATTAAGCCCAAGTTCAACATACGCAAGGCGGGCGAAGGTGGGTAACATGACCAAAAATATATCTAAACATTAGATCTACAGCTTTTCTATATCTATCGATATCAAACAATATTACATATATATACATATATTGCAACAATTTCATTTTTAGTACAGATATGTTTTTACTAGAAAAGCCAGTGCTGTGAAATTTGTTTATATAGAAATATGTTTGACCGTTAATTAGTAAGCTTTAATTCCAGTGCTGTGAAATTTGTTTATATAGAAATATGTTCTATATATAGAAGTAGGTTTTGTATATTGCAAACGTTTTCATTTTCAAAAATTATTCATTTTTTCTAAGCTAACAAATATCTCAGCTAATTTATGAGTAGCTTTCTGAGAATTTCAAGTGTTACAAAACGCACTAAAATAAAGTTTGTCAAATGAAACTTTTTTAAAATGTTGCGAGCACATTTTGAGTAATATTTATATTTTATGGATATTGAAATAGATTGAAAACGAAATGAATTGATAAACGCTTTTTCAGGTGAGGACACCTCGCAATGGAAGAAAATGATAGTGCTGAACAATAACAAAAAGAAGGAGAACGAAAGCGAAGAGGAACTTGAATACGATCCTGCCATGTATCCGCAGCGCGTGGGCCGCCAGCAGCGCGTCCTTGACATTCAGTTTAATTTCAATGACGGTCGTCGCGGCGGCGGCACCGGTTTCGGTGGTCGCGGCCGTGGTGGACCACGTCCGGGCGGGCCACGCAACGAGGGCAATCGCGGCGGACCGCAGAGCGGACCACAAGGCGGCGGCGGCGGCGGCTCTGGCAATGCCGATGGCGGCAATATTGGCGGCGGCGGCGGCGGCGGCGGTGGCGGTCCATCGGCTCGTCTCGAGGGCGGCAGCCGGCCACCAATTGAACGTCGCGGTTTGGGCGGCGGCATTGGCGGCGGTCATGCTGGCAAGCGTTTTGGCAACGAGCGGCAACAGAATGCCGCACCCAAGGTCAACGATGAGCGTCAATTCCCAACGCTCGCCTAAGAAGCGCGATTGCAGATTAGGATAGAAGAGGAGGAGGAAGGGCGCTTCTGCTTCTGCTGCTGCTGTGGCAGGCGCCGGGAGTGCATTCAATTTTAGAGTTGGTGTCTGTATTAGGAGCAGGAGGAGGAGAACAGGTTACCAATATATCAAATACACACACACACACACACCAATACACACACATACGAATTGTAAGCGAGAGTTAAATTTTCATTATAAGGCGGCCGCAGCGCAGCCAAAGCCAAAAGCAAACAAAAAAAAAATAAATAAAAACAACAACAACACAGCAAATGAGAGAAATTAAATATATATATATACAATAAATCAAATATGGAGATAAAAAAAAAAAAAAAAAAAACAAAAAGTAAACTGTAAATCTAAGCAAAAGCAATTTAGAGAGCAAACTAAAGAGCAAAGTTTCTATTTCTATGATGGTTCTCTTTTATATTTTTACCCACACCCCCACCCCACCCCCACTCTAAAGTTCATTTTACAACGTTCATTAAAACTCACCACACACACACACACACAGAGAGAAAAAGTACACTTCCCGCTTTCCAGTGACAACAATTAAGAGAATATTAATAACAAGCAGAAGAAGAGGATAAACATCACGAGTTTCTCATTGTTGGCAGCACAGTTTATAGAAGCGCATTTTCATGCACACATACATACATGCATACTAAACTTACATACACATACATATATTTTTGTTAAACATTTTTATATGCAAATGCCCTCATATAGAAATGCATTTTTTTTTTAATTTTTACTGTGTTACACTTGTATTTTAAAAATTAATAAATGAACAAAAAAAAAAACAAAACGATGGAAAAATAAACTATATAAAAACAAAACCCGGTAGTCCGGAAATTAAAAACGAAATATGCTAAAAAAAAAAAAAAATGTGTTGAAAAACTTGCAATTTTGTTTCTTAAAAAATTAATAATAATATGCACACAAGTATATATATATATATATATACGTATACCGCTATGATGCATACTCTATTATATTAATTATAAATCCAATTATGTGCATCGTATATACTAAATTTAATCAAAGCACACACTGAAAATGAAACAATTTTAATTTAAGCATTATTCAAAACAACAAATTTATATTAACTATTGGAGAAAAACTATATAGAAAACCTTATTAAGTAGAGTTGAACACACGCGACTTATGATAAAATCAGTTTGAATAAATCGCTTACAAAAAAAATAAATAAAAATAAAAACAAGAAAAAATTCAACAGAAAATATATAATAAAACCAAATCCTGTAAAACCTGTAAAGTTTTATGCTTTTACAATTAGAAATTGTATAAATAATCTATATAAACTTCTATATATATATATATATAAATATATGTATGTGCATTGCTCACGTATGTGTGCATGTATTTGCATGATAAAAAGTTGGTAACGAGAGAGAAAAACAAAAAAAATACATGGAACGGCAACAAAATTTTACGACTAAAAAAACCATTTAAAGATGAACAAATCCAAAAATACAACATACATTTTTTGACTAATATTGTATTGTATTTTGAGCCCAAAGAATGAAACAAAACATAAACCCAATTCAACAAAATCGTTGAGAGAAACTCGTTTAAAATAACATGAAAAAAAAAAAACACAAAACTTATTTGATAAAAATAAAGAAAAACACACAAAAAAAAAAAACGTTCAATTGGTGTTTCGATTTACAATTATTAATAGATAAAAGCTAATACTTATTTTAATTGTATTATTTTTTTTTTCGGAATTTTAAGTTTTACTTATTTTTTGAGGTTATGTTTTTTCTATTGTCCTTTGTTCTGTTGAAACATTTTTGAATGGGAATTGCTAAATCATTAAAAACTTGATTATTTTAGCAAGCGAAATTACACTGCAAAATCCAAAAGCTGTTGAATTTAATTCATTTATTTTCTTCGCTTTCTCTTTGAGCACTCTTCGCCAATTCACAATGCGCGCGCGCTTATGATGAACGAATTTTTGCTGGTTCACAATTGACTCGAAATACACATAGAAGCAACAAGAACTGTTGCTCTCAAAATTAAGAAAACGCCAAAGCATAAGGGAATGCCGAAATAGTAAAATTATAACGGAACTCCCGCCAGGCGTATATCCATGCGCGCATATAAGAGGAAGAAAGAAGCGCGAATGCCAAAACAAATTGAAGGTTACAATTTGTAATTTCACATAATTAAACACACTTTAGAGCGTTCTTTCACCGTTTTCTTTACAATTTTAAATTCTTTTGTTAAGCACTCACCTCCTGTTTGTATATTTGCAAGCTGTTAACGTCCAAGCTGGACGACTGAAAAATTAGAATGAAAGCCTTAGATAGAAATATGAAACGACAGATCGGAGAGTAACCGATATATTAAGTTGCAAATTTCAGTGTTGTCATCAGCTGCCGAGCCATGCAGAATTGTCAGTATACCAAGTAACATAGGCACTTTTGCCGGCCGTTGACAACCCTAATATATAACGGTGAAATACAAGCGAGACACAAGAATGCCGATTGGGCTTAAAAGAATTGAGAGAGCAGCACTTCGACAGCGCGATTGTGAAACGAAATTTTAAGCCATGCATGTGCATGCATGTTTTAAGTTGTGCACTAAATTAATTATATACATAAAACACATTTGCCGAATAACTAAGTAGGCTGGCCCATCACAAGGAATGGTACTTCTGTAATTGACATTGGGCGAACTACTTAATAAAATGAAACTTCATTATCCACATTTGCGATATGTAATTCGACAAGCGTATGAAAAGAAACCGAAGACAATTTGAGTCTTTTTTAACCATTAATCATCTCGTAACTTTAAATGCACTCTTACTAAACATTATGCACTCACCAAAAGTTCAGATATATATATTTTTGCAAACACCAGCGTAAATTTAACAATATAATAATACTAGCGCGCCCGTTCGAAACTTTACGTCCTTAATGGCTGTTGATGTTTAACAGAGTGTGGCAGTGCGACCGACATTCAACGATCACAAAAATACCATACCATTAACAGTGGCACAACGAATGTTAAACTCAAAATGGCACTCTTATGTGTGCAGACACTGGAACTGGAACTAGCTCCGAAATAGAATCACGCAACTCTAGAGAATACATAAAAGAAAAATTAGTAAACAACATTTATTGGAGGGAAATAATGTAATAGACCAATTATGCCTATTTATTAGAGCCAATCATCTAAAAAAAAAAACAAAAGCCAAACGCATTAAACATCAATTAACATAACCTCTGTTCTAACAAACACTCTCATATATAGATTCTATCCGCAGCGGCTGTCAAAATGAGCGTCGAGGATGAAGTGTTTCGAATTCAGAAAAAAATTGGCAAAATATCGACGTCCAGCGATGGCGCAGTGAGTAAATAAAACAATTCAAATGCAGGCAATGTACGTGTGCCAGTTTCATAATTTTTCATACTGTATTGATTGTGCAGGGCCAGGATCAGGCGCTGGATCTGTTGAAGGCGCTGCAAACGCTCAACATTAATCTGGAGATATTGACAAAGACGCGCATCGGCATGACGGTCAATGAGCTGCGCAAGAGCAGCAAGGATGACGAGGTGATTGCGCTGGCCAAGACGCTGATCAAGAATTGGAAACGTTTTCTAGCCAGCCCGGCGCCGCCCGGCACGCCCAAGGAGAGCGCCGCCAGCAAGGAAAGCAACAATAGCAATAGCGGCTCCAGCGCAACAAAATCCTCGAGTGCCACCAAGTCAAATTCATCGAGTGGCAAGGATAAATCGAGCAGCAGCAGCAGCAGCACCAGCGCCATTTCCACAAAGGATAAACGCGAGGAGAAGAAACCCGCCGCGGCACAAACAACATTTCCAGCCGGCGGCATGACGGACGCCGTGCGGCTCAAGTGCCGCGAGATGCTGGCGAATGCCTTAAAAATTGGCGAAGTGCCGGACGGTTGTGCCGAGCCCGAAGAGATGGCCGCCGAGCTGGAGGAGGCCATCTATATGGAGTTCAAGAATACCGATATGAAGTACAAGAATCGCATACGTTCGCGTGTCGCCAATCTGAAGGATCCTAAGAATCCCGGCTTGCGCAGCAATTTCATGTGCGGCGCCGTCTCGGCCAAGCAATTGGCCAAAATGACGCCCGAGGAAATGGCCAGCGATGAGATGAAGAAGCTGCGCGAAAAGTTCGTCAAGGAGGCAATCAACGATGCCCAATTGGCCACCGTGCAGGGCACCAAAACCGATCTGCTCAAGTGTGGCAAGTGCAAAAAGCGCAACTGCACCTACAATCAGCTACAGACGCGCTCTGCGGACGAGCCGATGACCACGTTTGTCATGTGCAACGAGTGCGGCAATCGTTGGAAGTTCTGCTAAGTCCGCGTTCGAGTTCGAGTCCTTCAATTCATTTACACCAAATTCTTACATGCGAACCCCCCCCCCCCCCCCTCCTCCTCCTCCACCCCTGCTCCACACTAGATATTGCATGTGCACACGAAAAGGAATACACTTTGTATTTGAACGCATTCACTGACCACCTAAATTACAAAATTTCAATAAAAAAGAAAAAAAAAATATACAAATATATAATATATAAATATGTATGTGTGTGTGTTCTTGTTTTTTAATCAGTTTTTAGTTTGCCTGCAGTTGGGGTACAGCATGCACGCCACCAGGGTTGTCAGCTTTTAGCGGAGGGAGTTTCATGTGTGTATTTGGATAATTTGTGCGTCTCTTAACTTGAATAGCTGTCACATTAAATCAGGCATATATATTTAAATTTTCTAGTTAGCTGCATTCATTTAATAGAAAGTAAGAAAAAACAGCTGCATGACGTCAGAAATTGTTGGTGCACTTGAGTAGCAAGCAGTTCGGTCACATTGCCATATTCGTGCTGCGCCGTTTTTACGCTAACCGAGTCCGGTCACACTGCCGACAGTCCACAATTTTTGTTTGCAGCGATCGGTCGTGTTCGGTTTTGTGCTCGGTTGGTTATTTTGGTTGTTGAGGTAACTACCGTTAAAAAAAAAAGCAAGAAAAAAAAAATCACCCAAGCCAATAACAAATTAGCTAAGCGAATGTGTAAACGCGTGTGCTTGCGTTACCGAAAGTGCCAATATTTTTAAGTTTAAGTTAAAGTCCAAACTGCCATTGTTAACCTGTTGCGCGCTGCACTCGATGGTGCGTGACCTATTTATGTAACCTGTTTTTAAAAAGAATATACCGCTTTAACTAAGCTCCCAAAGCTACAAGTTTTGCCTGGTTCTGTTACCTGGAACTGTGCACCTCCAACTGGAACTGGTACTAGCCCGTAGCTAAAAGTGTACAAAGTGTTAATTATATACGTTAATGGCCGCTAGCCGAGAACTTGGCAAAAATAAATTTATTATCGAGCGCTGTTTAAAAAATCAAAAGCTCTCTTCTAACTTTTCAACAGTGAAGAACAAAAAAAAATGAGTGCATTCACCCTGCAAGCCATGTGTTAGTGTGTGTGTGTGTCTGTGTGAAACTAGAAAAGTGCGCTGAAAATCTAATAAGAGTATCAAAGCTTGCCAAGGGCGTAGTTATTTTTGTTTTTTTAAGGGTCACAAGTGAAACTGACACCCAACATGTTTTCATCTCTTTATATGCTGTATATGCGTGTGTGTGTGTGTGTGTGTGTGTGTCAACAGATGAGCTTTGGTCTGCGGCTGAGACGTGGCTGCATTCTGGCTAAGCCTCTGACCAAATTATGGTTAGCTACGCTTCAGGTTTCGTTGTCTAGAACGGTACTAATATGCGCATACACAAACACACACACAGGCGCAGAGAGAGTGAGAGGGAGAGAGAGAGTATAGCAAACACCAATACACTAACTCATACACACACTTGCGCACCTGTTAAAGAGCCCATAAAAGAGAGAGCCGTGTAGAAAGAGCGGCTCACATTGCAGCAGCCGCATGGGTGCCCCTTGCTGCGCGCTCTCCCCATCTCTCTCTCTCTCTCTCTCTCTCTGTGTGTCTTTCTCTTTTACACACGCATTCAATTCATAGAAAAGAAAAAACTAGATAACTCGCTCGCAAGCCTTGAGCTTGCGCTTGAGCCGGGGCCAGAATTAAATTCAACGACAACAAAAACAACACTTGTTTGGCCGGTTTGTTGCACAACGGGATATTTTGTAGCTTGCAGCGCTGAGAACCCTTTTTCAATAAAACACCTAAAAAGCCCCACTTTGTGTGTGTGTGTGTGTGTGTTTTTACGTTTCTGCTAACATAGTTATTGTTGTTGGCTGCGCAGCTTTCGCGACTTTGCAGCAGCAACAGCAGCCGCACACGCAGCCAGCGGCGGCGACTTTCTGTTTGTTTGGTGAAACTTTTTTTAAGGTCGGCATCGGCATAATAATAATAATAAAAATAAAAAAAAAAAAAACAGACACACACACTCTCTTACAACGCACTTTGTACAATTTGGAAGATTTAAAAAGAGCAACTGTAAATGCGCTCTGTACTGCAGCCTAACAGTTGAAGCGCTGTTAATGTCATAGTGAAACAACAACAACAACAACAACAACAAAAACGAAATCATAAAGTATGCAGATAGATATTATACTTAAAGCGTAATGTACGTGGCAGCGGTATACGAACTTTCACTAATGACTCTTGGTGAACTCTCACATATGTAAGCACACACACGAGCACACACCTGCACGCGTGCATTTCCCATACGTGCCAATATGTGACATAGTCCAATCAGATTTGTGCTTCTGCTAAAGTTAACATGCTTGTGCTTGGACTTTTTAAATCTGTCACCAAACTCTAATCAGATAATTTATCACTGTTACGTTTAATGCATTCTCAGCGCAATTGAGCATATCATATTTCTTTCCTGTTATTGCTTACATGATTAGACTTTTTGTACCGTCAAGAAATGCCAAGATATTCCAATCAGATAATGTGTAGCTTTAGCTATCTTCTACTTAGAGTTTTTGTCTCTTGTTGTGCATATTTTCAATTGAAACGTGCCTAAAACGAAAAATGAGTCAAGATGTCGCTGCAATGATAATGTTTTTATTATTTGTTTAGTTTTGATTATGCTCACTTTAACAGGCGTCGCGGCTTATCAGTTTTGTTTACTGATAACATTGTTAGGCAATACATATTTTAAATAATGTTGTGCAGAGGGTCTGCTCAAAAGTTTGGGCACTCTCTCCCAGTATTCCCCCCTCCCTCCCCCTCTCCTATCTTCCTTCCGTTCTCACTTTGCCCTCCCCTCTTCGTCTACCACTCTCTAACTGCCCTCCTCTCTCTCTTCCTGCCCCCATCTCTCTTCCTGTCGCCCTCTCTCTCACTCGCTCTATTATGTGTGGGAGCGGGGTGCTGTTGTATGCATTGTATTTTGATCGTCAGAGCGTAACCAGACTGTTTAACGTACTTTTATACCTATGTTATGTGTGTATGTGTATGCATATGTATATGTATCTGTATGTATGTGTGCATGTGTATGGCTCGAAGTTTCTGTGCCACAAAAAAAAATGCTGCTTTAGTTATTTCGTCTGTCTGCAATTACATACCTAGCCACACACACACACACACGCACACACACACACACACACACACACACGCATACACACACACACACACACACACACACGCACACACACACACACACACACACACACACATACACACAGACATTCATACATGCAATTAGTATATCACTTGCCAGAGACGCCTCCAACTGTGCAATTATCTTATGACGCATGTGCTTGGCTTAAGGCTTGGACTAGCTGAACAATTGTTTTTCGAATCTAAAGTATCAAGTTCGATAACTGATAGGAACAGGAATACATATGTGAGATTATATACGTAACTGTTTTACACGCAAGACAAAACATTTGTTATTCAATTGAATACCAAACTGAGGACCTTTGTACATTTTTTTTTTTATTTATCAGTTTCCACTTATTTTCCGATCATTGATCTTGATAGGAACAGGAATACATGCAAGACAAAACAAGTCTTATTCAATTGAATACCAAACTTAGGACTTTTGCATAGTTCTTCTATTAGTTTCCACTTATTTTCCGATCATTTATCTAACGAACTTTGTATTTTTCGAAATACGTTTCCGAAGAGGAAATACCTAAAGTAAGATTTTGAAAAAAAGCTACAAAATGTTATATATTTTTTTAAACTTATTTTTAAAACTATTCGAAATGTAATATAAGTTTTTGCTCAAGACTTTTAATAGAATTGAGGACTTAAATTGTTTTCTTTTTGCACGTAGTTTATGCTCGAATCAAGCGCACCTATAGATAGATAGACCCCCCCCCTCCCCACCCCTTCCTACAAACATCCCCCCGCAACCGTTAGCTATGAACAGGCAGCCTTTCATTTGGGCCACCAAATTTCTATGGCCTAAACGAATCGCTCAGTTTGCCGTATAAGTAATGAAAGTAAATTTTTTCAATGAAAACAAATCGAAAGAAAAATAAAGAAAAGGAAAACGATATAAAATGATTATTTGCATAACAAACGCAAAAGTTGAGCCTCGAATGCCGCTTGTTCTGATTGGAAGAAGAAGACACAATAGTTTTGAAAAGTGAAATTGTGCCTGGGCCATTTTTGCATGTCTAAAGGTTTTTGGCTTTTGTGGTCTTTCGATTTGTATTTGGGCATGAATTGTCAACGAATCAGTGAGGGTTTTCTGATTGGACTTTTGATCACACACCCCCCCCTCCCCTTGGCACCCTGTGGAAACAACAAAGAAATGAGGAAATGGATAGAGACATTTGTACAACAGCTTGTGGCAGAGGGGAAGAGCACAAAGAAAAGACGAAGACGGCGACGGCTTTGTAAATTCTTTCAATTTACCGTAAACTTCACCTTATTTATTTTGTCCCCCCCCCCCCCCCCCCCTAGCCCCTTCCAACTCTTATACTTGTTTGTTTTTTCATCTTTCTTTAAGCCGGTTTTAAGCGCCTGCAGCAACTTGTTGCTGTTTATGTCTATTATATTCAAACAAAGAGCAACTGTTTCGACTCAACTCTCTTCTGCTCTCTTTCGACAGCTAAACGGGCTTTGCATTGGATGCCAGAGAGCCAGGAACAGTAAATGAAGGACGACGAATATGGTGATTGTAACACGTGTAAGTTAAGAGAAAGACTGAGAAACTTTGTTGTCCATCTCATGCCAAACGGAAGTCCACCTATGCATATACCCTGTAGCTATTAGGGAAAGTGGCTATGATAGAGTTATGCATACTTTTGCTACAATCCGAATTGTATAGTAGACTTCATCTTTTTCCATCTGATTGAATGCTTCTGTCTCAGCCGCAATACGACGAGCTAGGCTATACATAATACAGGGTATCTTCATGTGCAGCACTTTGTTGCGTTCTGGCTTTTCGTTTTCCGTTTTGAATTTGTTTGTGTGAATAGCTCCCGTGCCTCGTATATCTATCACGCCTGTCCCTGGCTGGCTTTTTGCGTTACGCTCAAGTGATTCTTTAAAATACAAAAAAAAAAAAAAAGTTGTAAAAAAAAAAAACACATCACTGCGCAAAGTTTTATGGCCCTCGTCAAATGTCCATGGCAACCCAATCCATGGCTCGTAAACTGTAATGTCAAATTGTAAGCACTTGTGTATTTGTTGTGACAGGGTGACTACATCTGGATAGAACCCGCATCGGGGCGGGAATTCGATGTGGCCATTGGAGCACGTGTCATCTCCGCGGAGGGTCGTCGCATCCAGGTGCGCGATGATGATGGCGACGAGGTCTGGCTTGCACCGGAGCGTCGCATCAAGGCGATGCACGCCTCATCCGTCCAGGGTGTCGAGGATATGATATCTCTGGGGGATCTGCACGAAGCTGGCATCCTACGTAATCTGCTCATACGCTACAAAGAGAATCTGATATATGTAAGTGGAGAAATGTTTGCGAATTATTATAAAAAAAAAAATTGCATTTAAATGAACATAAATTATAATTAATTAAAAATATAGAAAGATGAACTAAAAAAAATAACAATAATTACATTTAATTAAATTTAATTTATTTTGATTTTTGTTCCACAAGTTAAAAAACTTGAAATTCGACATCTGAATGGCCTAAGCCAGCTTATATACCCTCTATACCCTATAAACAGCTTATAAAGCTTAAATAATTTTGAACATTTTAGACATACACCGGCTCCATATTGGTCGCCGTCAATCCGTATCAGATATTGCCCATCTACACGGGTGATCAGATCAAGCTGTATAAGGAGCGCAAAATTGGGGAACTGCCGCCGCATATTTTTGCGATTGGCGACAATGCGTATGCGCATATGAAGCGTTATCGCCAGGATCAGTGCATTGTGATATCTGGCGAGTCGGGAGCTGGCAAAACGGAGAGCACAAAGCTGATACTACAATATTTGGCTGCGATCAGTGGCAAGCACTCGTGGATCGAACAGCAAATTCTGGAGGCGAATCCCATACTGGAGGCCTTTGGCAATGCCAAAACGATACGCAACGACAATTCCTCGCGGTAAATAATGCATTTTCATTTTTATTTTAATTGATTCAATTGACTATTATCGGGTTTTCTGTAGTTTCGGCAAGTACATTGACATACACTTCAGCGCCAACGGGGTGATCGAGGGCGCCAAGATCGAGCAATATCTGTTGGAGAAGTCGCGCATCGTCTCGCAGAATCACAGCGAACGCAATTATCATGTCTTCTACTGCATATTGGCGGGTCTCTCCGCCGATGAGAAGAGTCGTCTGGATTTGGGCGCAGCTGCCGACTACAAGTGAGATTTTTATAGATTAAAGATATAAGATGTACGATAAGCGATATAATAAGATATAAAATATAAGATATAAGCTAGAAGATATAAGATATAAGATAGAAGATGTAAGATATAAGATGTAAGATGTAAGATGTAAGATGTAAGATGTAAGATGTAAGATGTAAGATGTAAGATGTAAGATGTAAGATGTAAGATGTAAGATGTAAGATGTAAGATGTAATATGTAAGATGTGGGATGTAAGATGTAGGATGTAGGATGTAAGATGTAAGATGTAAGATGTAGGATGTAAGATGTAAGATGTAAGATGTAAGATGTAAGATGTAAGATGAAGATGTAAGATGTAAGATGTAAGATGTAAGATGTAAGATGTAAGATGTAAGATGTAAGATGTAAGATGTGAGAAGTAAGATATAAGATGTAAGATGTAGGATGTAAGATGTAAGATGTAAGATGTAAGATGTAAGATGTAAGATGTAAAATGTAAGATGTGGGATGTAAGATGTAGGATGTAGGATGTAAGATGTAAGATGTAAGATGTAAGATGTAAGATGTAAGATGTGAGATGTAAGATGTAAGATGTAAGATGTAAGATGTAAGATGTAAGATGTAAGATGTGGGATATAAGATGTAGGATGTAGGATGTAAGATGTAAGATGTGGGATGTGAGATGTAGGATGTAGGATGTAGGATGTAAGATGTAAGATGTAAGATGTAAGATGTAAGATGTAAGATGTAAGATGTAAGATGTAAGATGTAAGATGTAAGAAGTAAGATATAAGATGTAAGATGTAGGATGTAAGATGTAAGAAGTAAGATATAAGATGTAAGATGTAAGATACAGGATATATGATAAGATATAAGATATAAAATGCAAGCTACAAGATATAAGATAGAGGATAACAGATAGAATATAGAAGATAGTAGATGAAAGTTTAAGAAAGTATAAGATATAGGATAAGCTAAAGATATCTTATTATTTAAACACCTTACGCCCTTGTATCATAAATCAGAATATCATATTTATAAAATATTTTATTTACCAGATACTTGACTGGCGGCAATAGCATCACGTGCGAGGGACGCGACGATGCCGCCGAATTCTCGGACATACGATCGGCGATGAAGGTGCTGCTGTTCTCGGACCAGGAGATTTGGGAAATAATCAAGCTGCTGGCGGCGCTATTGCATTGCGGCAATATTAAATATAAAGCGACCGTTGTGGATAATCTGGATGCAACGGAAATACCCGAGCATATTAATGTGGAGCGTGTGGCCGGCCTGCTTGGCCTGCCCATACAGCCATTAATTGATGCACTGACACGCCGGACGCTGTTCGCGCATGGAGAGACGGTCGTCTCTACGCTGTCCAGGGATCAGTCGGTCGATGTGCGTGACGCCTTCGTCAAGGGCATCTATGGACGTCTCTTTGTGCATATTGTGCGTAAAATAAACACGGCCATATTTAAACCGAAGGCAACATCACGCAACGCCATCGGTGTCCTGGACATATTTGGCTTCGAGAATTTCGATCAGAATAGTTTTGAACAGTTTTGTATCAACTATGCGAACGAGAATCTGCAGCAATTCTTTGTACAGCACATTTTCAAATTGGAACAGGAGGAATACAATCACGAGGCAATCAACTGGCAGCACATTGAGTTTGTGGACAATCAGGATGCGCTCGATCTGATTGCCATTAAACAGTTGAACATAATGGCACTGATCGATGAGGAGGCGCGCTTCCCCAAGGGCACCGATCAGACGATGCTCGCCAAGCTGCACAAAACGCATGGGGCGCACAAAAATTATTTGAAACCCAAATCGGATATCAATACAAGTTTCGGCTTAAATCATTTTGCTGGCATTGTTTTCTATGATACGCGCGGATTTCTTGATAAGAATCGTGATACATTCAGTCCCGATCTATTGCATTTGGTCAGCCAGAGTGGCAATAAATTCTTGCGTCAAATATTCGCACAGGACATTGAGATGGGCGCCGAGACGCGCAAACGTACGCCCACATTGTCAACACAATTCCGAAAGAGTCTCGATGCCCTAATGAAGACATTGAGCAGCTGCCAGCCGTTCTTTATACGCTGCATTAAGCCCAACGAACTGAAAAAGCCAATGATGTTCGATCGTGGCCTCTGTTGTCGCCAATTGCGCTACTCTGGCATGATGGAGACGATACGGATCCGACGTGCCGGCTATCCCATACGACACGGTTTTCGGGAATTCGTTGAACGCTATCGTTTCCTTATTGCCGGCGTACCGCCCGCACATCGTACCGACTGTCTGGCGGCCACGTCACGCATATGCGGCATGGTGCTGGGCAAATCCGATTATCAATTGGGCCACACCAAGGTCTTTCTGAAGGATGCGCACGACTTGTATTTGGAGCAGGAACGCGATCGTGTGCTAACACGCAAAATACTAATACTGCAGCGCAGCATACGCGGCTGGGTCTATAGGCGTCGCTATCTAAGACTGCGCGCCGCTGCGATCAGTGTCCAGCGCGTGTGGAAGGGCTATGCCCAGCGGAAACGCTATCGCAGCATGCGTGTGGGCTATATGCGTCTGCAGGCGCTGATACGTTCGCGTGTCCTGTCGCATCGCTTCCGTCATTTGCGTGGCCATATTGTGGGGCTGCAGGCGCACGCTCGCGGCTATCTGGTGCGCCGTGAATATGGTCACAAGATGTGGGCGGTCATTAAGATACAATCGCATGTGCGGCGCATGATTGCAGTGCGTCGATATCGCAAGCTGCGGCTGGAGCATAAACAGTTTGCCGAAGTGTTGCAGCTGCGCAAACTGGAGGAGCAGGAGCTGTTGCATCGCGGCAATAAGCATGCACGCGAGATAGCCGAACAGCATTATCGGGATCGATTGCATGAGCTGGAGCGTCGGGAGCTGCAGGAGCAGCTCGAGGATCGTCGTCGCGTTGAGGTCAAAATGAATATTATCAATGATGCGGCCCGCAAACAGGAGGAGCCCGTCGACGATGGCAAACTGGTTGAGGCCATGTTCGATTTTCTGCCCGATTCAAGCAGCGATGCACCGACACCACATGGCGGCCGTGAGACGTCCGTTTTCAATGATCTGCCGCATGCACAGGCCGTCAATCAGGAGGACATCATTGCGCCCATGCATATCTCCGAGGATGAGGAGGATCTATCCGAATATAAATTCCAGAAATTTGCGGCCACCTATTTCCAGGGCAATGTGAATCATCAGTATGCCAAAAAGGCACTGAAGCATCCGCTCTTGCCGCTTCACACGCAAGGCGATCAACTGGCCGCACAGGCGTTATGGATAACCATATTACGTTTTACGGGCGACATGCAGGAACCTAAATATCATACCATGGATCGCATGGACACCACATCGGTCATGTCCAAGGTGACGGCAACACTCGGACGCAATTTCATCAGAAGCAAGGTGCGTGTGAATTATAAATAATTTGTATTACTATTTCATTTGGCATTCTATTGACAGGAATTCCAGGAGGCTCAATTGATGGGACTCGATCCGGAGGCGTTTCTCAAGCAAAAACCACGCTCGATCCGCCACAAGCTGGTCTCGCTCACATTGAAACGAAAGAACAAACTGGGCGAGGATGTGCGACGGCGCTTGCAGGATGATGAGTATACGGCGGATAGCTATCAGTCGTGGCTGCAATCGCGTCCGACATCGAATCTGGAGAAGCTGCACTTCATCATTGGCCATGGCATATTGCGGGCGGAGCTGCGCGATGAGATATACTGCCAGATATGCAAGCAGCTGACCAACAATCCATTAAAATCATCCCATGCACGCGGCTGGATATTGTTGTCGCTATGCGTCGGCTGCTTTGCGCCATCGGAGAAGTTTGTTAATTATTTGAGGGCGTTCATTAGGGAGGGCCCGCCCGGTTATGCGCCGTATTGTGAGGAGCGTCTGAAGCGCACATTTAACAATGGTACACGCAATCAGCCGCCCTCGTGGCTGGAACTGCAGGCAACCAAATCCAAGAAGCCCATCATGCTGCCCATCACATTTATGGACGGCAACACGAAAACGTTGCTGGCGGATTCGGCGACAACGGCACGCGAGCTATGCAATCAGCTCTCGGATAAGATAACGCTCAAGGATCAGTTCGGATTCTCGCTCTATATTGCGCTCTTCGATAAGGTCAGCTCGCTGGGCAGCGGCGGTGATCATGTGATGGACGCCATATCACAATGCGAACAGTATGCCAAGGAGCAGGGCGCCCAGGAGCGTAATGCACCGTGGCGTCTATTCTTTCGCAAGGAGATCTTTGCGCCATGGCATGAGCCAACCAATGATCAGGTGGCCACAAATCTCATCTATCAGCAGGTTGTGCGTGGCGTTAAATTTGGCGAATATCGCTGCGACAAGGAGGAGGATCTGGCCATGATTGCCGCCCAGCAATATTTCATTGAATACGGCACAGACATGTCCATGGAGCGGCTGTTCACGCTGTTGCCCAATTTCATACCCGATTTCTGTCTCAGTGGCATTGATAAGGCCATTGAGCGCTGGGCAGCGCTGGTGCTGCAGGCCTACAAGAAGTCATACTATGTCAAGGATAAGATAGCATCGCTCAAGATTAAGGAGGATATCGTTAGCTATGCAAAGTATAAGTGGCCGTTGCTTTTCTCGCGCTTCTATGAGGCCTATCGCAATTCGGGCCCCAATTTGCCCAAGAACGATGTGATCATAGCGGTCAATTGGACGGGCGTCTATGTGGTTGACGATCAGGAGCAAGTGCTGCTCGAGCTTAGTTTTCCCGAGATCACAGCTGTTTCCAGCCAGAAGACAAACAAGGTCTTCACCCAGACCTTCAGCCTGTCCACGGTGCGGGGCGAGGAGTTCACATTCCAGAGTCCCAATGCGGAGGATATACGCGATCTGGTCGTATATTTCTTGGATGGTCTCAAGAAGCGGTAAGTGAACCATAGAACCAATCGATAGCTATTGCTAATCGATTTCTTTCACACACCATTTGCAGATCGAAATATGTGATTGCGCTGCAGGACTATCGCGCACCTTCGGACGGCACCAGTTTCTTGTCGTTCTTCAAGGGCGATCTCATCATACTGGAGGATGAGTCGTGCGGCGAGTCGGTGCTCAACAATGGCTGGTGCATTGGACGATGCGATCGGACACAGGAGCGTGGCGATTTTCCAGCCGAGACGGTCTATGTGCTGCCAACGCTGAGTAAACCGCCACAGGACATATTGGCATTGTTTAACATCGAGGAGGCGCATCATGGCCGGCGTCTCAGCATGGTATCAAATGGCGGCGTTGTGGAGCCGCGCGATCGTCCGCATACGCTTATGGAATATGCATTGGATCATTTCCGTTTGCCACCAAAGCGCACCATGTCCAAAACCCTGACGCTCGGCTCGAAGCGCAGCGAGGAGTTGTGGCGGTATGCCAGGGATCCGATCAAGGCGCCGCTGTTGCGCAAGCTGCAGAGCAAGGAGGAGCTGGTCGAGGAGGCGTGCTTCGCCTTTGCTGCCATACTCAAATATATGGGCGATTTGCCATCGAAGCGACCACGCATGGGCAACGAGATAACCGATCACATATTCGATGGTCCGCTCAAGCATGAGATATTGCGCGACGAGATCTATTGCCAGCTGATGAAGCAGCTGACGGACAATCGCAATCGGATGTCCGAGGAGCGTGGCTGGGAGCTAATGTGGCTGGCAACCGGACTGTTTGCCTGCTCGCAGGGCTTGCTGAAGGAACTGTTGCTATTTCTGCGTACACGCCGTCATCCCATCTCACAGGACTCGATGCATCGCCTGCAGAAAACCATACGCCATGGACAGCGCAAATATCCGCCGCATCAAGTCGAAGTCGAGGCCATACAGCACAAGACAACGCAAATCTTTCACAAGGTCTATTTCCCGGACGACACCGATGAGGCCTTCGAAGTGGACTCATCCACGCGCGCCAAAGACTTTTGCAACAATATCTCGCAACGTCTTTCGCTGCGCACCAGCGAGGGCTTCTCCCTGTTTGTGAAAATCGCTGACAAAGTGATTTCGGTGCCGGAGGGCGATTTCTTCTTTGACTTTGTCCGCCATCTGACCGACTGGATAAAAAAGGCGCGACCCATACGCGAGGGCGCCAATCCGCAGTTCACCTATCAGGTATTTTTCATGAAGAAACTATGGACGAATACGGTGCCAGGCAAGGATCGCAATGCCGATCTCATCTTCCACTATCACCAAGAGCTGCCCAAGCTCTTGCGCGGCTATCATAAGTGCTCGCGCGAAGAGGCCGCCAAATTGGCCGCACTTGTCTTTCGTGTACGCTTTGGCGAGAACAAACAGGAGCTGCAGGCCATACCGTGAGTGTCATCTATCCATGTTTTGTATTCATATGTATCTGAACGCCATTAATATTCTAGACAAATGCTGCGCGAACTGATACCCTCTGATATTATGAAAATGCAGAGCACCAGCGAATGGAAGCGCTCCATTGTTGCCTCATATAATCAGGATGGCGGCATGAGCTCCGAGGATGCCAAAGTTGCATTCCTAAAGATCGTTTACAGGTATGTGCGAGCGCGTAGTTTTCTACTTCTTTGTTTCCGTTTAACATTCTGTCCTTTTCGCAATCGCAGATGGCCCACCTTTGGCTCTGCCTTTTTTGAAGTGAAGCAAACCACCGAGCCGAACTATCCCGAAATGCTGCTCATTGCCATTAACAAGCACGGCGTGAGTCTCATACATCCGGTAACAAAGGTATGAGAAGCACAATAAACCTGTCAAAAGTGTAGCATATTTTATTGATAAATATTTAATACAATTGCAGGATATACTGGTTACTCATCCCTTTACACGCATCTCGAACTGGTCATCAGGCAATACATACTTCCATATGACAATTGGGAATCTGGTGCGTGGCTCGAAGCTGCTCTGCGAGACATCTCTCGGCTATAAGATGGACGATCTGCTAACTTCATATATATCTTTGATGTTGACCAATATGAACAAAAATCGAACAATACGAGCTAACTAGTAAAGCTATCTAAAAAGACTCCCACACACACACACACACACACACACATAAATAATATATATATATATATATATATATATAATAATTATAAATTATAAATGCAATAATTTATATAACTAGGACCTATAGTCAATTACCTATTGTGCATTCCTACTTTGATAACACATTCGTTTTTGGCTTATTTAGCTGCTATAATTTATACCAAACCCTGTTTCATATTTATATAATGCTTTTCTTTTGTAAAAATATGCAAACTTTTGTTTTTAGTATCTTATCTCACATTCCGTTTACTTAAATTATTGATTAAACATATCAAGTTGAAGGTCTTACATATTATCCTTATAGATAAGCAATATTATCTATGCATTTTGCACTCTATATAACTTTATGTATATCTCAACTGCATATCTGTACTGATGACGTTTTGTATCAAATACATAGAAATGTTCAATTATTTAATAAATTATATATACACACAATCTGTGTTAGATGTTTATTTATACTGCATCGACATTGCAGAATAATTTATTTTGTTTATGTCTTGATACTAAAATTCGCTTATATATGTTTTGCACTATTAATATTGTGTAAAAAATCATTTAAATTTTCTTTTAAATCATTTTTCCCAGTTTCAAGCGGTTTTCGTTAGTGGAACAATATTTTTGGCAACTGTTTAATTTACTGCCACCACTGTATCTATTGTGAATGAAACAACAATCGATAACGCGTGTCGAGTTTTAAGCCTCTGTTATAGCTCTGTTCACAATTGTTAGTCCCGTTATGTGTGAAAATTAGTGCGCGTTTTTGTGTACGTACAAATTAAATTGTGTTTTAAAGTGCAAATAAACCTAAAAACATGTACAAAACTCCATTTAATTACAATAAAAGACAGTTGGGTAAGTGAGCATTTGTCTGTCTAGATTATAAACTTTAAATTAGATACAACTTGTGCCAGGGTTTGTCACTGCCAGCGCCGACGCCTGCGCTGACGCCTGCGTCACTGCCCAAAGCGCCCCACAGACAGCGCGGCGCTCTGCGCAGACAGTTGTGTAAAGTGTTAGCAAGTTTTTCTAGCTGTGCGCGCGGTTTGTGTATAGGCTAAAAAGGTTCAACTTCTCGATAGACTTGTGGTGCGTGGCAAAACTTCGCCGCATTTTTTTTATCTCTGTTTAACGTGTTTTTTGTTGTCAAGTTTTAAGGCTTTTTATCAAATTGTGGATGTAATTTGTTTTTAATTAAAATTATATTATTTTCGCTTGACGCAATATAAATTTTTAAATAGGCAACAACCTGAATAGTTGTCATTAAAATATTATTTATTTTGTGACTACATGCATAGAATGGTACACCCTGTAAATACGCATTCACGTTGGAATTTGCTTCAAAGCATGTTTCTCGAGATTCCGATAATATTCAGGTACATTGCTAGATCAAATAAATAAGTGTAAAATTAATTATGGGCTCTGATTGGAATATCAAAAAATGGAACATCATTAGCTTGCTTATTTTTCATAGTTGATTTTGTTTCAGTTCTTTTTTTTGTGGCAGTTCGATTTATTTATGTAACTCAATGGTGGGCGTTAGACCTCAACAGATTGTATTACTTACTCCAAGATTCTGGAGCAAATGTCGCATTTATTCGTATACTTCTCGATAAACAACTATATCTTGATCATGCCATACAGCTATATAGAGCTAGCCATAGCTATCGTAGTATATTTCCTGACAGATGCACAAATTTACCCACAATTTAACTGAATCTCATAATACTGACACATATATATACAGAAATATCTATGTATTTGTATATACGTGCACCTTATATATAGAATGTGCTGACCAGCTGTACTAATCAAATTTTCTAGACTTGTCAATTATAAGTATCAGATATTCAGGAGAGCTTTCCTAACTGTTAAGCCCCATTAAATAGTTGCAGAAGTCTTATGCTGAGCCCTTTTATATTTGGTTCCTTCTTACGCAGATAATTACAGCGTTATGTTATCAATAACATAGCGATTAACAGGCTGTTATGGTACTGTTATAATTTGAAGAATCCCAATCAGGATATCACGGCATGGCTCTAAAGTCTCGTATATCTGCCTAAACTAAACACCTAATTTAATTTTGAACCGCATCTGCTATGCTTAGGAATATTTCAATTTCATTTAAAAAATTGCAACAATATTCATTGCATAAAATTGGGATTTTAAGTTAGTTTTGGAAAAATTTGGAGTTTTTGGACCGGGTAAAACAAGGTCAATATCAGCGGAAAACTTTAAAAATACAAAATGAAAATCAGTTGCGTTCTTTGAAGATCATTTCAGTTAATAATTGCGATTGGTCCCTACTGCTACTTCGAATGATACAAATATAAATATATGTAATATAACTTAATATATGTATTTATTATTCTTTTAATATCTGCTTTGATTGCATGCAACCCCTTTTGGCTCCCACACAACCGGCTGGCAATTCCCACGCATTGTATGGTTAGAATTTTCACAGCGTGTGAAAACCGGCAGCCGGCTTAAAAGTCAAGACTCAGATTTTTCAAGATAATTAGTGCAGTGGAAGCTCCTGAGAATTTTCATTTTTTTTCTTTTTAACAATTCTCCCCTTGCACCTGTAACACCCAAAGCACTCACCTATCTGTCCAACCAGACACTGCGAGGGGCAAAAATTATGCACTCGAAATGTGAATGTTCATTAAAAATTCAGCTAATTTCATATTCAGCTTCTTATAAGATGTCGTGCGCGGCAATGCGGCAACGGCCTTAAAGAAGTTGCAGTTCCAATTACAAAACTTGGTGGTGGTTTTTACAACTTGACCCCTTGGGCCCCTTTGGTTCAGTTCATCTCTCACGCAACGCAGGCGACGACGCCAAGTTTGTCGTTTGAGTCTTTCGTTTGTCATCTCCAGAAATTCCCATCAACTTGGTGGTGAGCTGCATTTGTTGCTGCTGCTGCTGCTGCCTGCCTGCTTCAGTGACTCTGATAAGAATTGAGTCTCAGCTACAAAAATTCTAATTAAAACAACTAAGAGTGCCTAAATCGGGTGTACCAGAATATCAGATACTCTGCACAACGCTGCGAGCTGCAGTACAGAATGGGAAATTCATTCTTTCACAACTTTTGTGTTTACAATTCGAATTTTTTTTACGATTTTCTTGATTGAAATACATCATGCCCATTAAATTTAAATTTCATTTTTTTAAATCTTTGGAAAAATAGATGATTGCATAAGTTAAACAAATATTCTTGAGGACTTTATTAAAAATAGAAAACTCTTGGACTCTCTCGCTAAGGCGAGGCTTAGAACTCGTGAGATGCTCCTTGCTTGTCTTTGACACTTCTTCTTCTTCTGTTTGCGATATATATTTGAGTAACACTATGTTACCCATTTTGGATAAGTTCATGCGTATAGAGTATTAGGCGAAAACATCAAGTTCGATGCTGTGATTAGTTTGGCAAACCCAAAACGGAAGCGGGATAATTAATGCAAAACTGCGATTGTTAATTTGTAAATCTGTAAAACAACAAAGCCAGCAAAAATAACAGGTAGTCTGTCAAATAATGCATAAATATTAAACAAAGATAGTTAAGCAAAAAAAAAAAAAAAAAACAGAAAAAGAAAAAAGATTCTCAGCGCTGGGCCGCTTATTGTCAACGCCTGGTGGGGCTGTGTGAATATTCTGTTCCTTCAGCGCCAAACGGAAACAATGCGGCGTTATATATGTAGATATATATATATATATATATATATTTCTTGACTTTGCGTTTTTCGTAATGGCAGCTAAAAATTCAAATCGACCAACCAACTGTAATTAAAGTTGAAGAGGCAGCCCACCGTGGGAAGTGCTGCACTTGTTTTGTTTTAGTCTCAAAAATGTTCACACGACATGGCAACATTTTCCCATGCCGATTTAAATCGACTATTCGCCTAACCAAAAGGGGCTGTTGGCGGGATTTGTAGCTTCTTTTTTTTTCGTTTTTGTTTTTGCCTCTTTAAAGCAAAGGAAAAAGAAAATGTTAAATCATGACAAATTCAAATTGTTAGCTGACATAGTTGATGTTTGTTCTGGTATTTATTTAGATTTAGGGGTTTCTCTTAGGCTTACAACTTTCTTCATTCAGTTATCTTACAAAAGTATATGCTTTGTAATATATATATATATACTTATTTATATATATATATATGTATGTGGTCTAATGCTGGGCTTATGTTGCGCTTGATATAAATTGTTGGAATGTTGTACAAGATGTTAAGCAAACAATTGTTATATATATAAATGTATGGACGATCCAATTAAGTTGGCACAACGCATAGGCCCAGCATATAGATCAAATCTTCTATATACTATATAAATGTATATTTAACTAGAGTTACATTTAATTCTTTATGTCAGTGAGCTCTTTCGAGTTATTTACAAATATATATTTTGCATTTATACATCTATTGGTACCGGCTAGCACTACAAAATGATAATATTGGTCAACTTGAAATTGGTGTTCGTTTTGTTCGCCTCGCATTGAGAGAGTGTGAGGAGGGGAGGGGGAGAGTGAAGAACTTAAGAACTAAGCATGTGTATAAAAAACTAAATATGTGCTAGACGAACTTTAAATAACTTGGCATAAATAAATGTATATGAAATTGCAAATAATAGCAATACTGCCGCACTCAAGACAAGCCGCTCCCATGACTATTCCATTGCACTTCCGAGATGGAGGGTAGCGTTTGATGCGTTTGCTGTTGCATGCTCTGCTGTAAGCTGGAGCCGCCAGCTGGTGAATTGCTGCTGCTGTTGTTGTTGTTGTTGTTGTTGTTGCTATTGTTATTATTGTTGCTAATGCTTGTGATGTTATTGTTGTTGTGACGCGTACGCATAACATCGTCAGCCTGATTACAATGCGATCGCGGACCCGGCTCCGGTGTATAAGTGAATGTGAGCCCAGTGGCATAAATGATGCCATCGTTGCGTACCAGCGATATTGGCACCTGTGTCGGCTGTCGCACCTGAGCAGAATTCAAAGACAACCAAAAATGTATAAATATAAGAATTGGCATGCATTTCAAACGAAACCTACCCAAAGCCATTCGCCGCGAAATTGTGAGATTTCAGGCACCACACAGAGCAGCGTTTCGGCGCAGCGATACATGGTCTCCGCCTCGACATCGCCAAACCAGACCTGCAAATGCGGCGTAAAGTTGTCGCCGCTCAACTCCAGCATGGCCACATCGCCGCCGCCATTAAGATTCAGCGAATTGACGATTGGCACTGGCGTTACCGGTGAGCTAAGGAGCCAAGCATAGCATATTAACAATAAAAAGGAATATGGATTCTGATCTGAAGCACTTACGCAACGGGACCCATGCCCTCGTAGAACTGATATTCGGCCTTGTCGGTGGATATGATTGTCCAGCAGGCGCCATCGTTGATCATTTCCTTGTTGGGCTCCTTTGGGCAGGGCGTCGCCTGAAATTGTATGATCTTCTCCTGGGACAGGCACAGATACATGCGATCCGTGTCCTTCATGTAAAAGGCGCACTTGTGCAGCTGCGAGACCGGATCATCGGCCTCCAACAGCGCCATCTGTTTATCCACTTTGCGTATGATTAGACGCGGCAGCGCCATGCCCGTAACAGAGCATACCAGCTTAACGGTGGCACCATAGTGTATATAACCATCGCGCACCTGAAACTCCTCCGATTCGGATTCATTATCGTCGAGCAGATGTATCGTAAAGGCGCCCCACTGTGTCGATGAGGCATGGAAATGCCCGTTCTCCACATGCAGATACCGAGTCGAGACAGTTTGGGAGCGCAGGCGATTGAAGAGGGCGACATTGGTGCCGCTGGCTATGCACAGGTCGGCATTCTTGAGCGATTGCTTCTTTTTGGACGGCTTCGAGATGACCTTGATGCGCTTGGAATTGAATACGCCAATGTCGTGGCCATTGCCATAGAACATTTTCACCGATAGCATGAAATGCTTGCGCTTATCCGAATCCGATATGAACAACGTTTTCGCAGCACAATACTGTTTGCCATTGAGATCCAGCTGCTGCATATCCTGATCGCTGCTGCCAATGCCAATGAATGCGCATAGCTGTGCCCCCTGCTCGCCCTCGCCCTGCTGCAGCATCTCCTCGTAGCGTCGACGCCAGCCGCTGCCAAACAGATAGATGCACGGTGGCGGGCAGAAGAAACGCTTCTCATTGCCATAGGATTTCTGTGCCACCTGCAGGAGTAGCAAAATTCTCAATTAGCCAACTAGCCGAGTAAATCTAACAAATAACTTATAATAATAATAATAATAGTAATAATAATAAAAATCAGTGCTTCGATTATCGACAGAGACAAATCGTAACAAACTGTAACCGCAGCAATGCAGCTGTTAAATTTGTCGTATAATTAATTTCAATTATTTTATTGTGGCCGCCGTTTGCTTAATTTGGATGCAGTCAAGTGTGAAGGATGCGATGCCTGGACGGCGGCCGACGCTTGAAGATAGCCGCGTCAAACCGCAACAAATGCCCGCACTGGAGCAGCAATTCGCTGTGGAATTGCAAGTGGAGCCCACACATTAACCCAAGCCCAACAATAAATAAATAAATTCATATATAAAGCTGTCCACAATCTCTTGTCAAATCTGTGGATGACGTCACATCATGAATATTTAGAATATATAAAAAGGAGTATTGAAAGAAATGCAGTCCAAGTATTTTTAAATATTTCCAATGTAAGGACATATTTACACACCTTTCCTATGGATTTCTATTGTTCTTGTGTCGGTATATTCAAAATATATCCTTATCCATATAACTTTATATTTTCAATGTAAAAATTTCATTGCATTAAACTAAACGATAATAAGATTATTGAGATATGCCAAATATTTCTATAATCATTAGAAAACTCCGTACAAAAAAATGTGAATTAATTTCAAGAAAATTTTCATTTTCTCGGGCAACTTTTCATAAAGGTCCGTTATATTTGGAAGTACTACAGATAAAAAACTCTTAAAGATTAAAAATCCTTTGAGAGCTATATATATATGTATATGTTATTACAGTCATATTCAAAGTTTCATTAACTAACCCGATATTAATAATACTTCCAAAATATTAGATGCAAGCTAAAACTTGTATTTGCTTAATTTGGTTGAAATATATTTTTATATATATTTTAACACAATTTTCTAACAAACATTTCTTTCACAACAAATCAAAGCTGATCCTGATGATGATCATGAATATATATTTATGCTTCAATAGACAGTCAAGGATATACTAGGCACATATAAAAATTGTATGCATTTGTGACGTCACGCTGTCTTGTTAATCCTCCCTCCAAGCGCAACCTTTCAAAATATTTCGTTGTTGTTTCACACTAAACCCACCTTGGCGTGCAGTATGACGATGACCATGTCGTTGCGCTCGCGCATGTACTTCTCCATGGCATCGCGCGTCAGCTTCTTTTCCTCAATGTGCGACCGGTATGGACCTGGCACAGCAACCGGCAGCATGGACAGTTGCATTTGTTGTTGTTGTTGTTGCTGCTGCTGCTGCTGCTGCTGCTGTTGTTGTTGTTGTTGATGATGCACTTGTAGCTGCTGCTGCTGTGGCGGCGGCGCACTGCCCAGTCCAAAGTGCGGCATATCCTGGCTGTGAGTGTGCAGCTGAGTATGCTCCAAGGAGTTGCTATTGCTGCCGGCTGCTACTGCTGCGGCTGCGTTCTCGTAGACAATGGCGGGCGGTGCGGCGGCAACAGCGTTTAAATTAAATTGGCTGTAGCTCTTCATTTAAGCACATGCTGTTTTAATGTCGTCTATTACTGTTGTTTGTTTTTGTTTTTTTTTTTTTTGGCAACTTGTTTAACACTTTGGCACTACTTGCACTTACACTTGTACTTTGTTTGTGTTTGTGTTTTGCTTTTTTCGTCTTTCAAGTCGTTGTATCCTGGCACAACACACGCAGCAGCAGCTGTCGTTTCTCACGGTTTCGCTTTCGATGTTGTTGTTGTTTTTTTTATTTTTGTTTTAGAATGCCCGCCTGGCCACAATTAACAAGTGTAGACTTGGGAGCGCGCGTGCGACTACGACTGAAGCTCGTTGCGGCTAGCTGCTGTTTAAACTAGCAACTAAACTGTGGTAACTGATTTATAATAAATAAAAACGAAACCAAACCCCACTAGCAAGCAGCAGCTACCAAACAAACTAGGGTTGTTGTTATCGTATCGATATCTCCAAATATGCAACTATCGATAGGTGGATCAACGTATGCGATATGCGTATGCCTTATCGATAGCTTATAAAATCTGTGACGTCAGTTCTACAATAATTTCAACTTTAGGTGTGCCGGTGACATTGATAGAGTATGTGCAAGCAAATAGCCTGCTTGCATAAATTCATTTCGACTCGTTTATTCCATTTATTGCGTAAATTCAAAGAAATAAAATAATTTAGATCGTAAATTGCCGGCAACCTTCTTCGCAAATATTCATCACATTAAATCGCTTTCGCTGTGAGTATAAAAAATGACGACTCACAAGCAAGTTGGCAGCTCCCAGTCAGTTTACAATCAAGTTGGCAGCAACACAACCTGTGTGCGCTTAAAAGTATTATAAAATTCTAGAATAAACCACACAAACAATGGAACAGTTTAAGGGATTGCAAAAATCCCTATATATATGGACTGATAGCGCTGAGCTGGATAAACGCGTAGAGACACTGAAGGCGGCCACCGGCGGCGAGGTGGCTGTCGAAAATGTGCATCGCCTGTCATTTTGTAAGTGTTAACAGAGTGTGAGTCAGCATGTTTATTGCCAATTGCATGCATTTTAGCCTCTTACGCCAATTCGAGTTTTGATCTAATTGTGATTGAATGCGCCCAATTGACTGACAATTATGTAAAGCTGCTCCACATGCTGAAACCGAGCGGCATACTGCATTTGTTTGCGTACATTGGACCGGCCGGCAGTCTGTTGCAGGAAATCAAGCTGTCTGGTTTCATCAATTGCCGTGAGGATGCCGTTGCCAATACGCTGACCGCAGAGAAGCCTGGCTATGAGACGGGCTCCTCGGCCCGACTATCGTTTGCCAAGAAAACCTCTAGCGTGAATGTATGGAAAATAAGCGGCGATGATGAGGAGCTTATCGATGAGGAGGAACTGCTCGATGAGGAGGATAAACAAAAGCCAGATCCAGCTGGGCTGCGCGTCTGCAGCACCACTGGCAAACGTAAGGCATGCAAGAACTGTTCCTGTGGCCTGGCCGAGGAGCTAGAAAGCGAGAAGACAACCAAAACGGTCACCGAGAATGCAAAGTCCAGCTGCGGCAATGTATGTAACGTCTATGTTTACGTGTGAAAAAAAGGCAAAACCCATACAATAATGTGCACTTGGAAATTAGAACTATTAGTAATTGGAATCGTCACTATACCCTTATAGCGGGCATTTCAATTCTCTCATGACGTTCGCAACGCCTGGCAGACATCTGCGAACTCAGAAAGCACTTGGGAATTGGAACTTTTAGTAATTTGAGCCGTTATATGCCCTTACATTGGGCGTTCTGATTATGTTGCGATGTTTGTCGTTTGTCGACCTCAGATAGTGTAAATTTATAATCCATATTCGTCCGCCTGTCTCTTATATAGATGCATCTTTGCACATGTCTATTGCAGGCAGTGCTTCGATGTTTATTTCGCATCATTTTATAATATAACTGACGTAGGGACAACCCGAGTTGTTGCAATTACAATCTTATTGTTTTTCAAGGTGTCGATTGCTATGTTATATGTATATCTCTTAAGATATCTTAGCCAATTTGCTAGAAGTTAAATACATATTGGAAAAAATGTATTCTTCATGTTCAAGACTTACGTGGACCTTAAATAGTCTTTGTAAAAGCTTCGAAAAACCCTGTGCTAACGTTGTTTTATGTATTGTATTTAACATAAGGGCAATTTAAAATTAGTTTATATAGAAAACTAGAACTTACACCAGTTTAGAGTTAATTTCCAATTAGCATCATTTAAGTAACCGTCTCGTACTAATTTTCTCATGTTTTATGTTTTTTTTTACTCTATTATTTTGCAGTGCTATCTGGGCGATGCGTTTAGGTGCTCCACGTGCCCATATCTGGGTATGCCAGCCTTCAAGCCGGGCGAGAAAGTGCAACTGGCTGATAATTTGCTGAAATCGGACATTTAGGCTAGGACGCAATACAGCACATATAGACTTGGACACTTTATTAAGTGAATATAATTTCATAATTAAATATAAAATTAATTAAAGAGAAAACAAATCAATTTGCGCACAATCAAAGGCTCACTGTTCGCATGGTGTACCCTTGATAAGATCACGATTCTTGCCGGTCAATATGCGATAATTGACGGCCGTCTGATCCAGCTCCTTGTACATGAAGGTGGGCATTCTGTCGGATAGCACCCAGAGTGAGCCAGTGCTGTCGACTTTTAGATCGTTGGGAAAGACCAAAGTATGCGAATCGGAATCAATGAGTCCCTGTGTATCCGCTGTATATGGACGATTGATATTCCAGCAGGCGATGGCATCTTTGTTCACTTGCGTGTAAAACAATACGCCTGTCTCCTTGTCGTACGCCTCGGCCGTCGACTGTCCGTTCATGCCGCGGTCGCCGACAAGTTTAAAATCATGATAGGATTCGCCGCCATTGACATGACTCTCGTTTTGGAGCACACGATTGGAGACCTTGAACTCCTTGGTGCTGGCCAGCGCATGGAAGTATACGTCCTTGGTGTGATCGGGTTTCAGTGGACCAACGGCCAAGGCGAAGACGCCATCGGTCCATTGGAAATTCACGCCTCCCACATTGAAATCACCCTGCAGCGGATCAAAGTGGAAGTAATTGTGCTTGACACGATAGGATTTGTTGTCCCGATAGGAGTAGACAATGACGCCATATGCGCCCAAATCTGGTACATAAGCAAACGCATCATCGCACTGTTCGCGCTCCACATCGACCATCTATACAATATGGATAGAAAACTTTTTAAGTAAAAATCTAAATAGACTTGGCCAAGTGTACTCACAATATTAGCAAAGAACGTCTCATCCTTGGTCTGTTCGGCGGGTATGGCAAAGCGGCGCAGCAGCTGATCCGTTTTCAGATCAAACACCAAAATCGAATTGGGTGTAATCTGCTTGGGATTGCCCAAAATATCGGCGAGACCCGTGTCCAGCACCCACAGACGGTCGCAGGCATCCACCTGAATGCGGAAGGTGGAAATTATGGTGGCATTGTCCAGTAATTGTATGCCCGCATCCTGCGCCTTTTCCGCATCCAAGCGGCCACCGGCGGGCGTCTTCTGCTCTTGTGGCTGCACATCAATTGGCAGCTTGTTGGCCTCCCAGCTGGGATAGGGATGCAGTTTCGGTGATTTCTCACTGGTCGACAGATCAATGTAGTTCAGTGTAGCCGCCACGCCTGCCTTCCATCTGAGGGAGTGTATTAAACAAAAAAACAATATCGGTAAGTCTGAGAGCGTTTTACCCATTTTATATACTCTTGTGGGGGCTGTTTGAAAATGTCATAAAATAAGTAACGCTTAGCTGGAGACATCTCCGACTCCATAGAGTGTATATATTTTAGATCAGCATCAAGTCGGGTTGATATAGCTAAGTCCGTCTGTCTTTTCTATGCGAACTAGTCTCAGTTTAAAAGCTCCGTCTTTCTGTTGCTGGCCGTACATAAGTTGAAACCGGCTGGATCGGATTACTATATCATATATACAACTGCAATAGGAACGATCGGTCGTAAATTGACTTCTTTAAGCAAAAGTTGTTTTGTTTATAATAATGTTTTGACTAAGCTTCGCTTTAATTAGTTTCACTAAGCTTTCAGCATATAGGCCAAACATTATCTATATCGGACTACTATAATACTGTATAATATATATAATATTTGTAACTCTTCCAAAATGTAGCTCTAATGTAGAAATCGATGGAAAAATGAGTTTTCAAGGGAACATTTTCTATTTTGCCAAGGTGCTTTGCCAAATTCTGCAATTACGACGTGTACAATTCTCTGCAGATATCTGCAAAACCGCAAGCCCTAAGTCTACAAGAGTATTTAATCTTCGGCGTGCCGAAAATAGCCATTCTTTCTTATTTAATTTTAAAACGGTTTTGCTAATTCTCTAAGAGCACACTTCAATTGAAGTATATTTATTTCTTCCGGATTTTTAAATTAAAAAAAAAAACAAGTAAAACAAGTTCTAGTCGGGAGCTCCCGACTAGGGGATACCCTGAACCCTCTTCTTCCAACATCAAATGCATATCGGCTATTGATGCTGATCAAGAATGTATATACTTTTTGGGGTCGGAGATGCTTCCTTCTGCCTGTTACATACATTCGGATTTTGCACAAATGCAATAGGGTATAAAAATAACAACAAATAACTGCGGATTATTTGAGTCTATTTTTGGTAAGGGCATAAATTGGAATGCTTTTCTCATGACCTGATAACATAAAAGCGATTGCAGAATTAACACAAAAGTTATTTAAAAATAATTTTTAAAAAGCGTCAAGCGATAAATAAAGCAGTTTATTTGGATGCTGGGCACAAGGAATCTTACAAACAGAGACAAATGCAATCTTTCGCCTTTTTTTTATGATAAATTAAGCTGCATTGTTCAGAACAATATATTTGGGCTTTTTTTGCTGCATCTGAATCAGCATTTTGTTGACATCAAACCTGAACAACATATTCATAATTTTGGGCAAAATACTATTGGAACAGGTAAACCACCGCGCTGCGATGATGTCATCGCAACTAGATGGGCAATTCGAAATAGACAAAGATCAAATGTGATATGCCACCTGTTCACGATCACGAATTAATTAGCCATGTAAGCGCTTTGTCTGTGCTTTAATATAATTAATTATTAATTTGCATAACAGTTATTACCAATGCGAATAGTTGTATACACTAGGAAAGAGAAAAAGCGCAAACAAACAAAAGAAACAACAAGGTATAACCGGTTTTTCCCCAGGCCAAATGGGTTTTCGCAACACGATTAAAAATAAACATATATATATGTATATATAAAAAAAATGTATACAAAGAGGTAATCACAGTGGTAATTGCAATTTTTGGCTACCTCCGCTTACCTTGGCACAGTGACAAACAGTTTGTTTTCCCAGCGCTCGACGCCGAGCGGTAAATTGTTCTCCGCAATGTAATGGCCGCTGGTTTTGGCCTCCGTCTCGGTTTCAGCGCTGGGCCAGTCGAAGGTTAGCTGTGTCCATGAGAATCTTTCCTCCAGCTTGGCATTGATGCCCAAACAACAGCAGCAGCTGATCAGGCACAAAGCCAGAACTTTAACTGTATACATGTTTTTGTTTGCTTTTACGCTTTTCTTGATTATTTTCTGTTTTTCTTGCGATTTTCACAAAATTTCCGTCTGCCGCGTTCAAACTAGGGGGGGCTTCCGTTGCGTTCGAGCTGAGCGCGCCTACTGCAATACTTGAGCTCCGTTCAGAGCTTAATATGCTGGCTAAAGCTTAAAGCTTTGCAAAGCTCTCCATCGGTTAACGGCTTAAAGCCCTATTGCAGCAGGCAACAGCTGCCTTCTTTTGTGGGTGGGTCGCCGCCAAATTAGCATAGGCGGAAGGGAATAATAAGGTATGATAAAAATAAATGTTGCATTAAAAAGTCTATAAATGGACTGCATTTATTTAACTGTTACTTGCAATTTATGCGTAACTCATCGGGTCAGATGCTACTGTGTGTGTGTGTGTGTGTCCAATTGGAAACTAGTTTACAGTTGAAACGAGTTCTCATAGGATTGTGTCAGCTCAGCTGAAAACATGGAAAACTACGAGTAAAAGTTAACAGAAAGCCGGTTCCACTATAATTGGACCAAAGCCTAACAATTCTAGCTATGGCTAAATGATTTTGGCTCTTATGCTATTGAATATAGCTAAAAAAAAAAAGCTGAAGAATTTATTAAAGAGCTACAGCCAAACACACATAGCTATAGCTTGGAACTTTTTAGCATTATGCATTTAAATGTAGCTTTTTAAAGGCTAATGAACTTTTTTCAGAGCTCAAGCCAAGCATTTTGGCTATAGCCAACAACACTTTTTTAGCTGAATATGTAGCATTTTGGCTATGGCTATTATTTCCATGGCTATAACTCAACATTTTTGTAGCTTTAAAGTGCCAACTCTAGCCAAAAATGTAGCTAAGAGCTATAGCTAAACACAGGTCTAACAGGGGTCTTAACAATGAGTTTTAGCTACATATCGCTAGCTATATGGTGCAAATTGTATTCGACTGTCAATTAATAATAATGAATAATAATAATAATAGCATAACTTACGCAAGAACAGATATTTGTATCTGTTGCTGGTTGAATACCTGCATAAAGTATATAGAAATTTCATTAATATCTCTTAAAATACGATACCTTTGAAACGAAAAGTAAATTATCATACCCGTTGACAAACACGACACTTGAGTATTAAACAATTGACTCAGGAGGGGGGCAGGCATATGGTAATTGCATTAATCACAATATCAGCATCCAGATGTTTGTACGATGCATATGCTTTAATATGGATGAGTTTTGGTTGCCGCGTTCAAGGGTAAAAAATAAACGAGATTTGTTTTGCTCTTTTGTAAAGTACACAATATCTTTGCCAATTGAATTTGTTTCCTTTTTTTTTTTTATTTGGTTTTTTTTTTGTTTTTTGTTTGTGTTTATTCAGTAAAATTCTCATATTCCGTTAATTAGACTTTAAATTAATTCGTTAATGTTACTTTCATAAGAACATACCGAGTTTTCTTTGCTTCATATTGCTACAATTGTATTTGTATTTGCTTTCACTAACATTAGGTTTGGGAAATCAATTTGAATGCGTTTTATTTACTCGTGATTTTTTTTTTTTTTCGACAACAATTAGCTTTGCTAAAGTTATTTATTAACTTTTTGGTTGTAGGTGTCCGGCTGTAGTTATAAGTACTTAGTTATGGCTGTGTTTGTGATAAACGATGGAAAAGCAAAGAACAAAAATTAAATAAACATTTGAGTTTTGAGTAAATCTTGCAATTGTCGCTTAGTATTTAGCTTAACACGTTATATACAATATACATGTTTTAAATTACGTCTACCCTAACAGCATTCCCTATATATGAATTACAATCCAATTAAACTACAAATTCCAACGATCCTTAACAATATATTAAAGGTGTTTTTCTTGCATTCATCATTTGACTTTTGTTATTATATACTAGAGATGTCAAATGCGCTTCTTCTATTCAAATACTCGCATATATATATATATATATATTAATAGATGTATATATATATATGTGCATCATGAATGTTTGTGTAATTGTAATTTGTTCATCATCTTTCATTGTGTGTGTGTATAGTTTTATTTCATTTAACGGCTTAGATTTTAAAGTCTTTCATTTCGTAGGAATTTGATGTTGTCTATGTTTTGCTTTTTCTTTCATTTCATTTTTGTTATAGCACTTTTCGTGATGAATAAGAGTGATTGAATTTAAAAAAGGTTCCATTTCGATTTATTTTATGTGTATATATATATATTTGAGAAATTTCTTCAATAGGTTTCAGTTATCGTTTGGTTTTATTTCTTTTTAAATAAATGTCAATTCCTATTTAAATAACGACGCATTTATTTTCACATTATACATTATTCTCCGATTTGTTTGCTTTGTATATATGTATATATACATATGTATGTATATATATTTTATAAATGCAATTTTAGAACTTACAGTATGTTCAAAAATTTTACTTTGCTTTTAGATTTCCCATCATCAATTTCAATGTGTATAATAACAGTACAAATAAATGAAAGTGTTGCTTGAGCACATAACCCCGCCCCCAAATATAATAATATAATATTACCTCGATACTACACTAGACTATGCTATATGTTTATATTATTTATCTAAGATTTGCTATGCTTTCCTTACGATTTGTGCTACTTACGACTCACAGATATTTAAACTATTTAAAATATTATATTCGTGTGCATAATAAATGTCAAGTACGATAATTATTGGACAGGCGCCAAAAATTTATACACGCGTACACAACATGATCCATACAAAAAACTAACACTAACTTAGGCTAAACTACAAGTTAAATAGGCCAAACTTTTTAAGAGTCTGGTACTGGAGTCTAGGAGCTCGTATTGCCACGGCATTAGTGAGGACTAGAAGTCCTGGGCTCAACATAACTATGAAATGGGAAAGGCCGCCTTGGGAGGGGAAACAAACAGCATGAATGGGGTGTGGGGTGTGTGCGTGCGTGTGTTTCTAGCTCTGGGAGATAGCGCTGAGCAAAATAGGTTTCGTATGGGGAATATACTCGTTATACAAGAACATATGTACTAAACACAACAATTGGTTTTCGTTTGCATTTAAAAATTACTTTAACTTTAACATGATTTCGCTTATAATTATTTTGCTATTTTTGTTGTTCTTTATTTTTTGTATTAGTTTAATGACGTCTAAGTTGGGTTTGTGTGTGTTCAACTTTAAAGCCTAACAATTTTGTTTAGTTCACATTCTAATGTCGTTAATTATTTGTAAGTAAGTTAAGAGTATTTCGTTTTAATTTAAGTACTTGCTAAACACGTTTAAGGTACAATACATATTTCAGTTAATCTACAAAATTGCTGCTACCAATTTTCAATAGTTAGCTCAGCTTAAAGTTGATACAAAGTTTATTAAGTACATACATATATTTATTAAGTTATCGTTTAGCTTCATTTTTTTTTTTTTCTTTTTTTGTATAATTCACCTATCACGCAAAGGAAATTGACAAGTTTTTTTATGTACGGTGCTCATGAGTATCTGAAAGAGAAATAAAGACGGCATTTTTTCAGTTGATTTACGTTTGAATTTATATTTAAAATACAAATTGACAGCGGCGAGTGGCGCACATATCGATATATCGACTGCGCTAACAGTGACTATCGAGACGATCACGATTGGTGCAAAAACAAGGTGGGAATCAGTCAAACATTAACAATCGATAGCCAGTATCGTATGTTATGTTCATGTTAAGGCTCGTTATTGCTAGAACCGTTATTTGTGAAAATTTGTGCGCGTTTTTGTGTACGCAATTAGAAAAGTGCAATAAAAAGTGAATATTGTATGAACTGAACGGTTAACTGCAATAACAAATAGCTGAGTGAGTTTGTGTTTGATGCTGATAAATGGAAATACCCTTTAAATTCCTTTTGGTAAGTGATCAATCGAATTTGTCAATGCCCACAAAAAGAGCTAAAATTTCTAATAAAAGACGTCATACGTTGAGATTATGTAAAGCTCATAAAACAACTACCGCTACATTTGCTGTATTCGGATATATATTTTTTTTTTGTATCGTTCACTTACCTTGTGTGATTGCGAGTGTGGCTGCGGGCGTGGGATGCGCAGAGGCAGAGGCTGTACTGATGATAGCAGCAGCCTGTGATTGAACTGCCAGCGAGGTTGTTGCCGTGCCGCCGTTGCCGTTGCTTCCGCCAACCGCGATGCCGGCACCCGACGCGCCATTCAGTTCTGTGCTCTTCGTATTGACGTCCCGCTCGACCAACCGCTGCCGTAGAACTCGTATCTTTTCCTCTTTCTGTCGATGCACACACACACAATTAGCGTTAATTAGGGTATTTTGAAAATTCGATCAATTTTCGTATTACCTGTGTTATCAATCGTTGTAATTCCTCATTTTCGGTTACCAGTTTTTGATAGCGTTCCTCGTCCTCCTTCGATATGGCCGAGTCTGGATTGTACTTGGATTCGGCTTTATCTTTTGGATGTCGTATGACCTCAATCACCTAAAGATCGTAGATATTTAAAGGGTATTGATTTTTTGTTGCAAAAAAGGGTGATCGCGTGAAATTTACGAAAATACTCAGGAATACATTGTTACAAATTATCTTTTAAGAAAAGTTTTGAAGCTGATCTGGTAAATAACAAGAAAGTTGCGTACAACCGTTTCTCAACAGTTTTTCACACTTACCGGTGAATTTGAAAAAAAAAAACGCTGTGTTAGTGTTCAAAAACGATCAAAAATGGAATTTACCTTTGGCACAAATATCAGCAACATGCTTAGGAAACAACAGAATATCACAGCTAGTGCAACAAAGGCAAAAGACGCGTCCTGCTGCGATGCAATGACCATGCCCACTGGCGCCGTAATCAGGCAGAGCACAACCACATTATAGATGCTCATGCCCACATAGCGCGAATCATTAATCTGTTTGACTTTAATTGAACGCGTCTCATAGGCCAAGAACAGACCGAATACAAGTATCAGACCCTTAACGCCATAGACAAGTCCTGCAAAAATAAAAAAATAAAAAATAATCAATGTAATATCAAAAGATATAAATGTATAGCTGGCGAACATACCTAACCACATGGAATTGCGTTCACTTTCGCAATGCTCAAGCTCTGGACGTATTTTAATATCATCAGTTGTAGATACTGGATCTTCGAGTGGGAATGTTTCGAGTATACGCTGCAGCGGATCAAAGATCTGCCAACACAGTAATATCACTAAATCTATTGATAAGAGCCCCGAAACCATGGTGTATAGCTTCCAAGGTTCCACTTTTTTCTATTGAAAAGAAAACACAGAAAAAAGTATACATTATTGAGGAATTGCAGTAATGTTTTCATGGAGTAATTACCTTTGGGTCAGTTTTCGCTTTTGTTGTAAATCGATGCACACGCCAGACTTTGCTGAACATAGCACCATATGCTAATGTAAAACCGGTGGATAATAGCCAAGCTCGAGCCTGACAAATCTGTGTGAAGATAAGGAGACCAATTAATGAGTACTTTATAAAATCAAGGGTGTTAATAACCGAATAAATGGTTCTGGAAGGAAGCCAACCATCTATCAGGATAAATATATTTACTATATTTAATAGTTCATACCTTTGGATATTCGTGCGGGCTGACAAATCGTCCATCTATGCCCAGTAATATGACTGATATAAGGCAGATGATGACGCCAAATAGCATGATGGTATTGCATACAGGATGCGAGGATTGTATTACTCTACAATAGAAATACGCATTAGCCATCAGGTATATTATTGGTATGCCATTTCGTGAATTACCTTCTATGCTTATTCCATACGTTGAAGATGATCAGAGCAAAGGCCACAAAGATGCCGCAGCAGGAGATGGTGCACATGCAGACAAATAGCGGCAAGGAAACCGTGCGAAGCACATGGGTAACAATTGTGCGATCCTGAGGCACCTGATAATTATTAAAACAGAATTCAATTTGTTAAGCATTAATCATATTTAAAAATAAAATTCATCTTTAGTAAGATATAGTTAAGAATGTAATTGAAATTTATGCTCTTTTGCTCAATTTGAACAATTTTTCAAAAGAAAATTAATGTAAATGCACAATTCGTGAGCACAGCTAGACTCCTTCGATCAGCATTTGGAATTCAGTCTGTCCAAAATCTTTGCTATGTTTTATATTGTATGCCCAAATTTTGCAAGTGAAACGATTCCGTTTGTTTAGCTCCAAATTCTTCAATTTGAGTGCAACGAGTCGATTCATATCCCTTTTGCTCTGAAATTTGATTTTCTCATTGTGTACTTTAATATCATTAAATTTCTTAGCATCAACAAATTTTGTTTTAAATGCCGCCTCCGGATAGAAATCAACGTATGCATTCTTACTTGGCGATGTGCATGTTATCCAAATGCGATCCTTACGCTTCTCTTCATTCGGAATACTCAATAACAAATGCATGAGGGCCGTGTAATCGACCTGCTCGAAATTCGATCTAACCACTTCGCTATCATACTTATAGGATTTGGTTTTGAAGCCAATCAGACGATTGATCTTTAAAAATACACACGGCTCGCCGGTGCTATAGCCAAAGTTATTATCCTCTTGGCAGGGTCCGAAACGCTTGATCTGCCCCTTGCTGCGTCCATGATGACTCAGAAAATCCGATAGCCTGTTTCTCATGTGTCCACCATGTGTGCCATTTCGGGGCGTATACCGGATTAGCTTGTGTTCGGTTTTGCTGCCGATTGGTGCGAAAATTAAAAACGGTTGCGACATCTGTATTACTGGAGTGGTCATGTTCAAATTATCAGTTAGGTGTCGAATTATTGCCATATTAAAGAATAGCACAAAAATTAGAAAACCGGCTACATAAATTGCCGAGTAACACCAATTTCGAGCATGACGCGAAAAATATTTATTTTGCTTGCCATCATACCAAATATTTTGCCAACGATTTGCTCTCGGAAAATGGTATTCACAATCGGCATAGTTTTGACGAGGACGATTATCCAGAATGTATTCGTCGTTTATATTCGGTAATTTAACAATACCCTTGTGTCTAATTGGTTGCCCAGTTAATTTCTTGCGTTTATTGTTAGTTACAGTTTGATTATGGACAATTTGGTTTTTGTTTTCCCTACGATGTGTATTTATACCAATACCACGGCTTGTGGACGTCAATTCAGTTTTTGAGATACTTTGTTTGTATCTGATCTTTGTATTTGCCTTACTGTCGACATCGAGCATTGGATTCGCCGGCTCGTTATTGTTTATGGAATTTTTACGATCAACATTATTGGGACTTTCATTTAGCTCTGCGGTGGCATACGATCTGGCATCCTGAAAAACCCTTGAGGATGTTGCTTCGATTTCAGTACTGCCTGTGGCTGGAGGATTGTCCGTTGACTTCTCATTAAATCTTTTGCTGCTAGCTGCATCATTTTTCTCCTCGTCCTCTTCTTTATCTTTATCTTTATCTTTTTTATCAATTTCACCCTCGTCTGCATCTTCTTTATCTTTATCTTTTTTATTCATCTCATCCTCATCTTCTTTATCTTTATCTTTTTTATCCATTTCAACCAGCTGCTTTAACGTTTTCTATGTCTAGTCAGTTACTAAATTTGATTTGAATTCAAGCTTGTGGCATAGCCTATTTGGTTTACCTTGCCCCCGATCCATTGCTCCGTATTTAGCCAGGTTAGATTATCCAGCTGTGTATCGTAATAGCCCAGTTTCTCGTATTTGCCATTTACCATCTGCTCAATTTGTGTGAGCGCAATACGATCGCCCTGGGAGCTGAATGCCACCACGCCCTGTCCACAAAGTATACAGAAAAAGTATATAAATATTTCAATATTTGAATAGAGCTAATTTGCGCCTACCGATACACCCAAGAATTGCGTAGAATTCATTGCCGAATATATATCATCGGCAATTTCCTTGTCTGTATAGGTAAAATCACGTAGCGATTTTTTTCTGGTTGTTAAACGTTCCATTGTCTTGTTAAAGGCCAATGCCACGCTCCAGACAGCATCATAGGCCAGCGGCGCCTCCTGATAGCCCTCCGGATAGCGATCGTGATTAATATCATAGCCTTCCTCAATAAGCGCATGATTCAGTCGATGTCTAAATGCAAATTCCAAATTAACGATTTGTGTTTTGGATTAAACGATTTGAATAAATTTACCGAAACTCCTCAGCAGTCATGCCGGATATTGTTGTCTGATTGTTTTGATTCCACATGAGCGCCTCGGTTGTCAGATGTCCCTCGGCCGCTTTACGCATTTGCTCCACTGTGCAGGTAATGCCCTCATTTTCCAGATTTGCCTCATACCAATTATCCTCATACCAGCCTGGCGATTAAGTTATTTTTTTTTTGGGAATAAATTATAAGGAAAATTGATTTTAAATGTATTAAAATTTCTATGCACAAGTTCGTTTTGCCATGTTACTGTTAAAGTTAACAAGCACTTTGACATGTTGTCTATTGGGAATGTGAACTTGTTAGGTGTTGCCACCTTGTTTCAGTTTTCTGGCAGCATCAAAATAGTGTTAAAAGTAATTGTAAATCAACGTTTACTATTCTAACAAATTGAATAACCATCAGAACAAAAGTGGCATTGTTCACATTTTCAAACAAAATGTATGCGTTTGATTCACAAGAATTATGAAGTGAAGATGAGAGAGCTACATATATACTATGTTTGTTGATATATCAAGGAACTGTATTGTACCAATTGCCGTATGCCTTACCTATGAAAAACCAGACATGGGCACGTCCATACAGCTGCTGTTTGTACATCTCGCAGAGAACACGTCTTGCTGCTACCACATAGAAGAGGCCCACAATGATGCGGGCATCCTGGCGTCTTAGGTTGCGTACGGCGTCTGTTGGATCGGATAGAAATGATTGTCTAGTTACGATTTCGACGCCAGCTTCCATGCAGCGATTCTCAAGGTCCTCTACAGTCTGCAAATAATATCATATTTTTTGTACATCGTACAAATATATTTATAGCGTTTTACCTACCGATATGAATACTTCCTCGGCTTGTTGGAGAATGGCAACGCGAGACCAGCCGAACTTTTTCATCAGCTTGATGCGTGTCGGATTGTGTACCGTGGCCGAGGGATGAGTACGAAATAGTGTTGGAAAACGCTTGCGATCGGATAGAGCGGGACTTGAGGCGCCGTAACAAAGCTACAGTGTGACCAGATTCAATTATATAAATGCATATTTATATTTTAGTATTAGATGATTTACAATTTGCTTACCACAATTAGATTCCACATTTTGGCTGCCTCTGCCACAGTGGTGCAGACTGTGCTGCAGCCCGCCAACAGCATCAGCTTTTGTGGCTTATTATATAATAGATTGTACATCACACTGGCGCCCAAACCGGGTTCGCACTGTACCAACGAGAAAGTCAATTACACATGTGTACAAACGCCATTTGGCAAAGGGCATGACCCAGTTTGTCAGCTGCCAACAAAACGGGTCTTCAATGCAAGTTTACATAATGCAAAAAAACAAATAAATTAAAATATAATACAAATAAAGTGAGTCCAATCAAGAGAGCACCTGCAACATCAAAGCACCTGCTAAACCTAAAAAGAACTGTTTGATGATTTTATTCATGGAAATATCGAAACACTTTGAATATATCTGTCCGTCTGTCTCTTTCTATGCGAGCGACTCTCTCAGTCTGTACCTATCTCTTAAAACATAGGTCCACCTTTCTATGTCAGGCAGCACATATGTCGGAACCGGTCGGATCGAACCGCTATATTATTGAGTTGCCATAGGAACAATCGGTCGAAAAGTAGATTCTTATATGAACAACGAGTCTGTCTGTTCATATGCAAACTAGGCCTAAGTTGCTGGATTGCATTATTATTTTGAATGTTCACTTTAAAAAATCCCAGTTTATAGCTCAAATAAGCAATATATTGAAAATATGCTATTTGTCTGCAAGTTAATTAAATTTGTGACAAGTCAATGATAGCTTCTTTCTAATTGATTTCTAATTAATTCATGCCAAAAATTCGTCGAGTCCTCGCCGAGAGTCAAAATGCGTCTGTGTAACTAAATGCAATGAATAATTGATGTGCTTAGTTGAATAGCCAACTGTTTGTGGCACTCATAAAGCATGCACTCATTTGCATTCGCTGCATGATGATGAATCATTAAATTCATGCCTTTAATGAAAAACTCATTTACGCTTTGTTTAACTTGACTTTGCGTGTAAACAACCTTTGTAATTGTTTAGCTTCGTGTCCAGTCCAATTGTTGTTTGTGTGTGTGTTTTTTTTTTATAATATCCTGTGGCATTGCGAGAGCATATTCCAGTATATATATATATATATAAATCCGGGGCTCGCCGCATTATGGGCGCACTTGTTTAATCGCTTCGTTGTGTGCGAACGCGCTCCTTGGGACAATTCACACATCAAAGTAGGTCAAGCAAAAGGCGCAGGCAAAGCCAAAGCCAGCGTTGAGCATTGCGTGCGACCTTTGCCGCTTGTCGCCTACTGATGATGCTGCTGCTGATGATGATGGGCATGTGGCACGTAGATGGTGCAGAGATGCGAACTAATTATGCAGCATTTAACGGAAGCTGTTTGCCAAAGCCAGAGACACTAGCCAGCATAATACAGACCGTACAGACCAAAGCCCAGCGAAGCGAACCAAACTGAACTCAATTCAAGCTGCTTTTGAACATACTCCCCTGCATACACTTTATAGTATGCCCCATATATATGTATATGTATGTGGAAAGGTTTGGCCGACAGCCTTGAATAAAAATAAACTCAAATGATGAGACGAGCGCGCCAAAGTGACCTCATTCAAAACTCAAAACAAGTTTGTTAAGCTTTCGCTCACTTAAAACTAATGAGCTGCGCCTATAAATAGGCATATTCCACTTCTACAACCCACAGTTGGTTCGCTACTATAACTGTAACAATATAGATGTGACTGTTACTGTAACTGTAGCTGTTCGGCCAGTCCTTTTGCCGCTATTCAAAAGCATAACTGTTCGTTCGCCCGGAGCATTGATAACATTTCGTGCGAGCCTGCGACAGCAACTAGCCATTAATTATGACATATGACATTTATGCGAGTAAATATATTTATATAAATATCTACATATATATGCTTCTGCTTCCTATTCTTCTTCGTGCTGTTCTCAAAAACGTTTTCGCCACAAATTCAATAAATTTTTGCGATTATATCAATTATACAAATGACTTTTTATGGTTTAAGTTAAATCGGGTTAGGTTAAATAAAATAAAATTAATAAAGTGAAAAATATAGAATTCAGATAAAATCTGTACGAAAATTGTGTATTCATTTTCAAAAAGAATGGAGAAAATATATGTGCATAATAAACTTTAAAATAATACCAAAATATTAAAAATGAAAATGCATTAGAGATAATTTTTATATTTTGTTATAATATTTTATATAAAATACAAAAAGAATATTAAAACGGAAACTTAAGTTAGATTTTTAATTCTCTCATCAAGTGAAGAAGAAGTGAAGTTTAGAAAGAAAGTTAAACCTAATTTTTCCAGAACTAATAGAATAAGAAAAACTTAAACATAATTGAGGTTAATAGATTAAGCAGCTCCATAATCACAATGCCAAAGAATATTTAAGTTTTAATTGAGATGAAAAGCTTAGGTTTCTTTTGAAAAACAAAACTAAAAAGAAGCTTTTCGTTTCAATTGAGTTAATTCGATTTCGCTTCTACTTAATGGCAAAGATAACAGAATACTTTGGTTTTAATTGAGATTAAAAGTAGTTAATAATAAGCTTTTATTTTTTACAGCTTTTCAGTAATATACCAAAAAATATGCTTCAAAATATATTTGAAAAATCAGATTTTGCTATTTGGTAACTATTAATGTAATTTTGACTGAATATTGAGTAAATTAGGCTAAAAGTTGTACGAAATTGAGTTGAAATTGATTTGAAGAACACTTAATACCCTTTATGCGCAATATAACAAAAGCATAATAAAACGCTACTGTGTGTGGCCCCCAAGAGAAATATGCTAATGAATGCCAAGTTACCCGCACCCAGCAATCGCTCCACCCCCAATGTTCCAATCCCACCCAACTTGCCAACCCCATCCAGTTTTTGCTACCCTTGTACCGCCCTGGAAACGTGCCGCTGCGGTAGCAGCCGACAAAAACGACAATACGTAAAACGGTCGCAAAAACAAAAAAAAAAAAAAAAGAAAAAAGAAAGCAAAAAACACAAAACGCAAAAACAAAACGAAACGAAATAAGTGAGACCCAAGGGTTCAAAACTAGACGCACTTACACACAACTATCTAACTCTACTCTATCTTTATTGTGGCGCTGGCGGCGGGAGGGTTGTCTGGGTCAGCTGGCTTATGATAGTGTAAGTTGATATGGAAAATGAACTCACCTCGCTGTCATTGCTGTGCAGGATGAGCTTGAAGCCGGGCAAAAGATTTGGCTCCTTGTTGACATCATCCAATGCCAGTCTTGCGGCCGGCATGCACGCCTGCCCACCCTGCCATCCTCCTTTGCCGGCAATTGGAAAGATACCGCCTATATGCAGCTCATCCGGCCTGCCCGCCTCGCTGCCCTCCAGCTGCGGTGTGCCGATCAAACAAAGCAAAAATATCCAAAACGCAACAGCACCATCACTTGTCATATCCTGCAGTAAATGAGGTACCAAATGTGATTACCGCATACCAAAATCCAAAATCCAACAAATATAAATACAAATACAAATAGAAAATTAGACAATACGACTAACACGAAATGGGAAACCAAAACGTGCCTCAAGCGCCTGTTTTTTTTATGTGTCCAGAGTAATTTTTTGTTGCCTTGTTTTTGTTTTGTTTTTATGACTCGCCTCGGTTCTGTTTACAGCTAACGCAAGCAATTTCGTACACTCCCTTGTTATGAGGTGGAGGGCATCATTTGCTATAAAATTATTTTGGACTCTTTCATATTTTCTGCTTAACAGATTTGTTGCCTCGCCGCGTTTGCCGAGAGCCGAGCTATGCCTTAAATTTAAATGTTCAAGCGTTGAAAACCAAAGCCTTAACCTTATTCACGGCTGCAAACGAGGTTCACGTTGCGAACCAACTTTAGCTTCGGCTCATGAATCCAGGTTTGAATCTATGTGCTGGTTGAAACCTTATACCTTGAAACCTTTGTCTTATATCTTAATTTTTCATACTCTTTCTACGAAAATATTGATATATAATAAATAAAATATTAGCATTTAGAAATTGTGGGCTATACTTTATCTCTACCCAAAATTATCATATTTCAATCATTCAATTCATTCGATTCAATTCATATTTAATTCAATTAAAGAAAATAATTGGTTAAGCAGATTGTTTATAGTTTATGTATTGCATTATATTGCAATATATTATTTTTTATATTTTATAGAAACTGAACAAATAATTGTTATATTGACTCAGAAATCTTCCATCAAATCAACCGAACTAAACAGGACTTTCTTTTATTCATGGGGTGGGATTTTGGGATGATTCCTCGTACATATTCGAGAAGCCGTTTGCCTCGACTATACTTAAAGACTTTTGATTTTAAGTTGAGATTGAAAGCTAACAAATTACTTTAGAAATATTCTAGAATATCAGAAATATATATACATAGCTGCGCCATAAGTATTATGGATCGAACTATAATTTAATGTTTGCCACAGGGCTAAGACAAAGGATATCCATGTAATCTGAACTATCTATACTATAGGACTATTTTACTTTTATCAATAAACTATCATAGATTTCAGTATCTAATATATCCCGCAAGCTGTTCTCAATTTGCAGTAGGATTATCTTTTTAGAACATCGTAAGAAAGATACATTTGATATGATCTATCTATGCTACACTGACTGTACTATCTCCACTTTTATCTGTCTGCCATATATTTTTGTAACTAATTCAGAAATCAATATATTCCACATGCTATCCTCGATAATATTTCCCATTTGCATTACAATTGGAACAACAAATTCGTTTTTCCACTTACAGCCGAATACTATATATTGCTTGCTGTCGTGTCTCTTTCTTTTAGTCATGATGTTCTATTTTATCTTAAGGTCAACGTAAGTTGAGACCAATTTGCTTTGTCCTTAAATAGTTCTGATTTGATTGCCAGTTTTCTATTTTAGTGTTCATTTGGAAGCTTTTAAGCTTTAGTTCAACTGGCATTTGTAGCAACAAATAAATAAATAATTAGATTCTATTTCTTCTTCATAGATATTTGCTTTTGCTTTGTTTTTTTTTTTCTGCTTCTTTTTCTTTATATCAATTGCTCGCTCCCTCGTTCAGCAAGGTCATTTTGTTTGGCGTTTCGTTTTTATAGCTTTAACCTCCACACACACACACATACACACCGCAATCGTCCTGTTCTAAACTTCACCAAGCGTTTGCTTATGAGCAAAAAAAAAAATAACTAAATAAAAAAAATGTTTTGCCACAGCCTCATGAGGCGGCTGCTGTCGAATCAGTTGCGAGGCTACGCTCATTGCGCGCTCGTGTGCGTACGTGCGGGTATGCGGGTGTGTATGTGTGTGTGTGTGTGTGTGTGAGCGAGGTAGATACAGATAGGCACATAAACACACACACACACACACACACACACACATACACGCGCACATGAAGCACGCGTGAAGACAATACAGTGAACGCTCGAAAATAATATATTTGGCATCTAGAATTTTCAAGAAATTAAATTGAATTAAATAAACACGTTGCAATTAAAATAAATAACTCTTTTTTATGGCTAATTTTCTTTTATATAAATCAAATTAATAGTTTCAAAATAAAGCGGTAAACTCTTCATTCAACTCTTCAACTTTTTATAGAACAATTGTGAATTATTCTTAAAAAAATATTAAAATTTTCAAAATTGCTAATTACGAGCCAAAACATTTTTATTTCATAATGAAACTTCATATGATGGCAAATAGGTAAAAGTTCATTAAATTTAGAGCACTGTTGTAAGCATAAGCCCTAAAATCGTTTTGATAAACTAGACATTATTGTCGGTCATTATGACAAATAATAATATACGAGCGTTCACTGTACAGGTGCTGTGTGTGTGTGTGTGTGTGTGTGTAATGTGAATAACACCGGGCTCAAAGGCAGTGAATATTATTTTGCAACGCCTGCTCTCAAATGTAGGCAACGTTATTTTGCTGCGCCGTTCAAAGCGTGCCCACAAATGTAGGCAATATTATTTGGCACAGCAATTCGACGCGTGCCCTGAAAGGTAGGCAACATTATTTTGCACGTCGATTATCGGCAACTGCGACCGAAGCGTTAATCAGCAAAGCGGCAAACGCATTGCCTGACACCTTTGTTGAGTTGAGTTGTCGTTGCTGCTGTTCTTGTTGTTGTTGTTGTTGTTGTTGTTGTTGCCGTGTTGTGCCTGGCTTGGCTGCTGGTGGGCAACTTCCGCTGACCTAGTTTCAGGACACACACGCGTTGAATAATTACGCGAGCACTGCGATTGTGACTGAGACCGCTTTTTGCCACTTAAACACTTGAGTGCACCAAGCAACAAAAAACAAAAAAAAAAAAAAAAAAAACGAAAGGATGAAAACCAACCCTGCCCCTCAACCCTGCGCGTCGCACGTACTCGCTACACACCTCGCCACGCTTCAGTTCACACTTAACTTGATTTAATTTCACTTACTTTGCGTATGCCGTTCAAAAATGTGATGCGATTTTGTTGATTGTTGTTGATGTTGCTGCTGCTGGTGCTGCTGCTGCTGCTGCTGCTGCTGACTTGGCCGGCGCTTCAATTGTTTCATAAGACACACAAGAACTCTTTTGGGGGCCAAAACTCAATGTTTGTTGTTGCTGTTGCGGCGGCTTTCTTGCTGTTCCTGTTGTTGTTGTTGTTGTTGTTGTTGTTGCATTGTTTGATGACTGCGCATTACAATCGATAATCCCATGCACAAATGCAGCTCAACGCAACGGCATTGGCGCAAATCCATTTTAATGAAATGCCTTAAGCCCCACAGATTATCCTTTAAATGATGATTATTAGTTGCTCTAGCGCTATTTGTTGTTCCTGCTGCTGCTGCTGCTGCACTTTCAGTCACAACAACAACAACAGCCGTCGGGGCGTGGAGCTTTACCAAAAAAAAAAAGCTTCAAATTGAATTTTAAATTTCGTAAAGCGATGTTTTTTTTTTGTACTTTTTGTATGCCTTGGCTCTTATTTTATTTGAATTGTATTTTCTTTAACTTTTTCTTAGCAGTTATTAGCTTTGAGTTTTTTTTTTTAATTTTTATTTTTTGTTTGTTTCATGCATAAATTTTGTACAATTTTTGCAACTGTTTGCACACTGGCACGTGCTTAGTAAACATTTTTTAGATTTCTAGCGAATTAAATGTGCAGACACACACACACATGCACACACACACACACACACACGCTTTGGGGTGTAGTTAACTTGGCTTGTTTTATACACAATTTTTGTAAAAAACTTTTTCGCATTGTATTTGGGGGCGAGGCGCACTGTTTTGTATTCGCTGCGTTCCACATGTATCCGACGACTGGAACTCCATGACTGACATTCACACACAGCCGACATTTGGCTTGAGCCAAGCGCAAACAGACACCAGCAGCAGGCAGCAAGCAGCAGAAGCTTTTCTGAGCAGCAAGCTTTCAATTGAGCGACTGGAAGGCGTCGCTGCCAGCTGCCCGCTGCCTCAGTTCCAGCTAGGCAAATGCGTGAGTGTTGGTAAAGTTTGATTTTTAGTGGGCGCGAAGTTGATAACTGTCAATTGTGTGTGCACCGCAATTATGACTAGAGGCCACTTGGCCAGCAGGCTCTGGGCGTTTGAGTCCTTTCGCCTGTGTGACCGGCGTTTTATTTTTTTCTTTGTTTTGCCTCTGGCTATGGAGTTATCAAATGGCCGCTAAAATTGAAGAACAGAGCCCGTTATGGCCAAGGACGATTGGCTTTAACTTATGGCCAATGTCAGGCGGCGTTTGTTTTGAAAGCGAAAGCCATTATTATTGGCCTGCCCTGGCCTGGGCATGGTCGGGCCTGGCCTGGCCTGGCCTGGCCTGGCGTGGCATTGCATGCCAAAGTTTTGGGGTCGTAATACAGTCAAACATGCAAACACGCACAGGCAACAACGTTGCCGCTGCCAGGCACGCGGCTATACACACACACACACACACACATACACACACACACGCACACGGACATGGACAAGGTGAGGTCCTTGTCATTTAACTCACTTGCCAAGTTGACCTTTTGTCGTGTGTGCACTTCACAACAACCAAAGAAGAAAACAACTTTATGGTTTGCCAGCTAATACCCAAATGCCACGCCTTGAGCCAAAAAAAAAAAAAGAAAAGAAAATAAAGGAAAGGAAAAGGGACCCCCAACTACACACACGGGCACGTGCATGTTTGATGAGCTTATCAAGGGCTCAAAGTTATTGAATTTTAAATCGATACGTTTCCGGTGTAGCCAATTAGTTTTGCTAATTGCACTGAATAAATCATAAGCAACTCTGTGTGTAATTACAGAACGTACACGTATGCCAAAGGAGCGCATTACGTATACGCATGCACAATTGAAATGCCGCAAGGAATCACAACTGGATTGTGACTTGCACATTTGCATAATAAATAAGCGACACGGG